CGAGCGATCTCGCGATGACCTTCGTGGCTTTTCTCTCTGCGTTAATTCTGTGAGTTTGCGGCATAAAACATTTATTTCCTTCTGTAGAGTATCAAGTCTATCGTCTACCGTCACGTTGTGTAGTGGAGGACTTGCTTGTTTGCTTCTTTCGTATATTCTATCGGCTATCTTTGCTATATTGTCTAAATCAGCATCCGTATCTCCCACAGCTAGGATCTGCTGTATATTTGCCGGGAGTTGGCGGAGCCACAGTTGATAAAAGGGATTATTGTCAATGTGTCTATCGCCAAGTAGACTTTTCATATAATTTTTTAGCTGTGATGGGGTTCTATCTCCAATTTGTACTTGATTAAGGAGTTGTTCGACGGCTTGTTGGTCACTGAGAGAGAGAGTTTTAATTACTGCCTCTTTTAGCACGTCGTATGGTTTTTCTGTGTCTGGTTTTGCTAGTGCCTCTCGAACGCTGTCAGCTACTTCATCTGGGAGTAGTGTTCTTGTCAGGCCGAACTTATCCTTTTGCAAAAGAATGCGGTTAGCGAGAAAATAATTTTCAAGTCTTATAAACCAAAGTTTTGGGTCTGTGATTTTAAAAGAAGGGGCAGGGAGGTTAAGAGACCTCACGGACGAGGCTTGCTGTACGCTTGAAACTGTGTTTTCATAAGACATGCTTATAAAAATTAAGTAGCACACGAAAATAATTTAACAGTCAGAAGGAAGAATAGACGGGCAAAAACAATGATAATAAAAAATGGCACAATTTATAAAACGGAACAGACTTACTAAATTGCACCAATATATCAATTGTTTATGGATAATTGTTATTTATTATGATTATAATCATCACGTTTAATAATGTTTGCGAAATAATGTAAGTGTAATTAAGATAGTAATATAAATCCACAGTTGTAATTATAGTTCATCTGATAATCCAAATTGAGATGAAAAGAATCGGATTTTTGGGATTTGATTATTTCGCCGAAATTCGCTTCCCGTGTTCACGTCGGGATTACCAATTCTGTAGTGGCTGTGCTTCGATAATTAATCACCCTCGAACCGTTATCGTATAATCTTCAACGATGTTTGAAATCAGAAGGCAAAAAGAAGCAGCTACTACAGTTTATTTAGTAGATAATTCGGACCAGACAGCAGAGAGGCAAAATGAATGAGCAAGCGAACTACGATTGTAGCAGTAGCAAGTAGTTGTAGTAGTAGTTGTAGTTAATGGGTGCAAATGTACACATATATATATGTATAGGAAAATGGATGAGTCAGCGAATAGATTAAGCAGTTAATAATGAAGCTAGCAGAATGAATACATGCGTAGGCGCTAAACAATGTTCAAGCATATGTATTTCATACAAGCATAATAATAAAGATAGTACAACAAGTTGTTATATCATGGATGACTTTGTCCATTAAATAGGTCAACAAAAGACCTTGACTGTACTAAACTCAATTGCACGTGAGTCACTATAGATAGTAGCGTTATCGCAGACAAAGTGGGCAAATTTACATGAATTATTTCGTAAAGTGGTCTATATTGTTTGACTTTAGATCAATAATCAACACTTATAGTCGAAGCTCACTGTTAATAGTAGACGTGCTGTTACATGAAATGAGGTAATGTTTATGATGGATAAAAATCTGAGTGAAGAGGATATAGAGAGGCATACGGAGCAACAAGCGATCCTCAATTTTTTTATAGTGTTATGTCAACAATAATACTGCTAACCCATAATTTCGACAGAGGAAAACGAATCATAATTGTTTGATGATATACACTTGGCTATTTAAATGTGAAAATGAGATATGTAATATACATATATACATATGTAATATATAAATCTAGCATACGTTCACACAGCCGTGTTCAATTAAATATGTAATATGGAAAGCACACATTTAAAAGTAAAAAAAACTCAGCCATTTGTAAAACCGAAAAACGTTTCTTGGTACAGGAGAAACGGTGTTCTTTATACAAACAGTCAGAAAAATCGGCTAAAACTCAGATACTCAGCTAACGGTTGATTAAAGCAAAACTCGAGACAGCTGAAGGAACTTCATATGACAGCAGAAAAACGACTGAGCACTTAAATTGTAAATACAAGAGAAACAACAATCTCACCTAATCTGAAAATAATTTTACACATATGATTGGAGAGATTAAAAGCTATAATAATGAATGCACATTTAAACAAAAGTGTCGTACAGAAAGTTTATCGAAGGAATGTTTACATACATGTAGGATATTTCAGGTAAGATATGTGAATCGAAATGTCACCTTCTACACCCTATGAAGTTGGGTAGTTACAACATTACTAAAAATATTTGAAAGTATCATACAAGAAAAATGAGAAGCGTCATTTTCTTTTATATTGCAGCAGACAGTTTTGTGACCCAACTGAAGATCCTAACACTGATCGAAAAAATAAACAGGAAAGCAGGCATTTTAAAATTAGATCATCATGAAGTGAGGACGTCACTGGAAAACTTATTAAAGCGATATTTTGTGGTTAGAGGCCGTGAATGATGAGATTCTGGAGAAATTACGACTAAAACTTCAATGTGATTGGTTGGGTCTATGGTTTGTTCGTACTTATTTTCTTATTTTGTTGCGTCTCACTATTAAGGAACTGAGTTTTATTTCATGACAATAATACTAGAACGGAGAACGTTGTTTACTCGGGTTTATCAGTGTTACTGAGAAATGAGTACTTCCGAAATCATTCAGTTTCGTCACGGTCTGCAACTCTGGTTACTCAAAACACTTTCATTTTCATTAATCAATATAGTATCATGTAACGAAGGTTAGATTTATATCACTAAATACACGAAAAACTCTCCTGCTTATAAATTGAAGTGAACTAGTTCTGTTTTATTATCACAAATAGTTTTGATGTAGTTTGATAATAAAATGTCTACAATCACATGGACGATTGCTGTAGATATGATCGGCTTATTTTGAGCTCAATCAGTCTTTAAATTAATACTCAAGGTAAAATTAAGTATTACGATAACTGAAGCTAAATCTGTAAATAAGAACCTGCATCTTCAGGAAAATACTGATTGCAACGCATATTGTAAATTTGTTCACTACTAAAATATACAACAAGGAACTTACTTTAATTATATTATGCAAATCAGAAATCTGGTTAACGTCTTTTTAGCGAGTTGGTTTTCTACGAGATTCCAGCGGAGGAAGCAATCAGGAAGAAACGTTGGAAGTGAATAGGACACACATTGAGGAAAACACCAAACTACATCACAAGGTAAGCCCTCACATGGAATCCTCAGGGTCAAAGGAGAAGAAGAAGACCAATGAACACATTACATCGAGAAATGGAGACAGACACGGGAGGAATGAACAACAACTGGATAGAACTAGAAAGGTAATCCTAAGACAAAGTGGGTTAGAGAATGCTGGTCAGCGGCCTATGCTCCATTGGGAGTAACAGGCATAAGTAAGTAAGTAAGTATGCAACTAAGTTAATAAGTAAGTAAATCAGAATTCATAATACTATGTTTGATAACACTGTACGGCAATATTATATTAAATATAAATAAATAAATAAATAAATAAATAAATAAATATAAATTATTAATCACAAGTTTTGTGGTGTGCGCTACTTTTATCCACATAAGTAGTATATAACGATTTATTTATTTATTTTTAACACATAGGTACAAGGAGGCACCAAATACATATGCGCCACACAAATCTCATTCGATATGTGTGAGGGCTGTGATACTGTCCGGGTGCCCAAACCGAAGCAGGTGGTTTTCTTAGGGGGCCACTCCCCGAGCCTTCGACCTGAAGGTCTGATCCACAAGGCAGTAGAGCATCGTAAGGAGATGCAGTCCCATGGAAGCCGGTGACCAACAATTGGTTCATACGCCATTTGTTCCCGCAGGATACTGGAGCCCATGTGCACCATTGGTTTGGAATCCGGTTAAAGCGCCGGACATTCGCTTTTCGTCCTCTCACTTTCGTAAACAACACCCCCTCCACGAGAAGGCAGTGAGTAAGACTTCCCTGACAGAGGCTATATACGCGTGGCCATGTGAGAGCATGTCGAGAAGGAGAGCGGACTCTCCCCACTCTCGGCCGTACCAGGGCATTTAGGGGAAGTATATAACGATAGTCAAGAATAGAATGTATTTCAGTAGAAGATCGAGAAGGAAAGAATGGGAACGGAAAGCAATTGATACAAAAATCCAGGAACAATAAAATCTGAGACGATGGACTGATATTTGCAAATGAAAACGTCAAGTTTGAGACAATGGATTGATATTTTGCAAATGAAATATTTACTGTATTATTCTCGGATTTTAGTGAGACGTTCTGTAATTTCATGTTCAAAGCACATTTGATTATCTCCACTCGCGTTCTTGTTCACTACAGTTTTACATATTGATCTAATGGTTATTAAACATTCAAAATATACCCATATTGTATAAGTTGTATATTTATTCAAAATAAATGGATCATTTTATAACCAAACAAAACTAATGAAGGTCAATCTAACAATGAATATTTTGTTTTGTTTCTTCAATAATAATAATAATAATAATAATAATAATAATAATAATAATAATATGGTACAAATATATTGAATGTTCCACGACTAAACTAATCCAGCTCAGAGAATAAAACTCCATCAACATTGAATGTAAACTATTTGATGTAAATAATTTATCAACAAACACCAATTGTTTGTAATATTTATTAAATTTTTTTAAAAATTTTTCTATTATGGACAATCATGAGAAGTACAATGATGGTAAATAAATTTAAAAAAAAAAATAAATAAATAATATTAAACTATAAATATAATCCCAATAATCATTGAGGATAGATAAGAAGTTATTTAATAAGAAATAAACTATAAAGTTATTTACATTTGCTATCACCAATAATAACAGTAATAATAGTAATAATAATAATAATAATAATAATAATAATAATTATTATTATTATTATTATTATTATTATTATTATTATTATTATTATTATTGGGTGATATGATATAAATAGTTTACTTTCCACTATAATTAGAATACAATAATTAAATTGTTAAAGGAGATGAGTTTATTTCTTTAAAATCTTATGTTCATAGATATTTCATCATTTGTTTATCAAGATTCTTCATTGGAAATCTAGTAATTAAAAAAAAATATGTTCAAATACGTTTGTTTGTTCGTTTCATATTCATTATTGTGGAGTATTCAATGTCGACATCAAGATTTCAGTTCTTTTACTAATACTAATACTACTACTGATATTAATACTAATACTACTACATCAACAAGTGTTTCTGATAACAGATCGATTCAAATTAAAGGAATTCTTCCAGGTGTTGGTTTGCTTATTGGGATTTTAGTTATTCTTATATTACTTATAAAGTGTTGTCGGCCTGATAAATTAACTAATGGTATGAGTCGAAATAAAATATCATTTTCACACCATGATGAAACTAAAATTTGGTCGACAAATTTAGAAAATGAAACTACTCGAGAGTACGGTGATTTACAAAATGACAATGATGATTATGATTGTAATGAGAATACCATTACAAATAGTTCTACGTATATAATGCAGTCAATTGATGATGATACGTCATCATTGGACTTGGAAACACAAGAGATGAATGAAAACAAGTGGTGTACTATGTCAAACAATGTTACATCATTGACAATGGAGAAAACGCAAACTTAGAACCAGTGTTTATATATAAATCATTTCAAATCTGATACATTTTTAATAACTGACAAACATAAATCAACCGTAACGAAATAAGACAGAGATAGAAATGAAAAATGATTAGATCAAACGACTTAACTGGTTATATATTTCATTTGTTTATACATTCATCGACCTTGATATATTTATATATACGAATTTCAATAATTTCTCAAGTTTAACCGGATTATTCAAAATATAACGTCCGGTAAGAAAAATTGATAGCTGTAAGATGTTTCTTCAGAGAAGTCATTAACACTATAATCACTATCTAGTAAATGAGAACATTATGCTTTTTGAAAACATTTTAAAAATGAACTCAAATGGCATTGATTATTACACATATATTTTCACTTTAAATAATGTTACATCATAATGTAAATAGTCAGATCATAATTACCCCGACCCATTGTTAACAGAAAGGAGTGAACTGAGAAATAAATAACAACAAAAAGAAACAATAATAAAAAATAACTTAATCATTTGAAAGCGTAAAAGAAATAACTTGATGTTTATATTTTCATGTAATGGCTTTAACAATGATTATTAGTAGTATAGTTAGACTGTTGATTTCAGACAGAGTAGTGAAATAACGTGTTTAAGGTTAGTTGCTTATCATTCGTCTAATGTAGTTATTTGAATTTTACTCTTGAATATCGAGTTCATAATAACTAAACAGTGATGTCGATCAACAGCATTTAGCCACATTTAGTGTTATCTACAGAAATAGATATGAGTTAGTAAGAAGATAACTGGGTGAACTAGTCAACCAGGTAGACAATAACAAATGGCTGTGTAAGCACAAATAAAAGGAATTAATTAAAGTAATCAAAATTTTGTTAGAAGATATATGATTTAGCAGATGCTCAGGGTAACAAGAAAGGCGTACAGATTTATGATAAATACGAAGATTAGGTATTTTGTGTATATTGCTTTGTCTTTTATTTTATGGAAAAGTATCAGTCTTAAGGCATATGATGTGTCTGACGTGATTTGAATAATACCCTTACAAGCCGCATTAGCGTAAATTCGCATTTCTCTGTCACCTAGATATGTGTATGCCAGGTTAATCTTGAAGCTTATCTTCTGGAGTTGGATTTACTATCGCTTAGCTGAAAAATTAAGAATAAAGCCTCGTTGCGTTAAATACTTTTTTTAAACATTCAGTATATGTTGTGTCACGATTGTTCTTACTACATTACTCTTATATGTATAGAAAAGTTTAAAAGATACTGATCGTTTAGGATTGTTATTATTAATGACTTACACACTTAATTACGCCTGCTGTCCCTCGTGGAGAAGCATAAGCCTCCCACCAGCACTTTCCACCCAACTTTGTCCCTGACAAACCTTATCAGTTCTTTCAAGTTGCTATTTATTCTTTTCATGTCTGTTTCCAATTCTAGACGTTATGTGTTATTTGACCTTCCTCTATTCCGTTTCCCTTCGGGATTCCAAGTTAGGGCTTGACTCGTGATATAGGTTGGTGTTTTGCGTAATGTATGTCCCATCTATTTCTATCATCTTTTCCTAATTTTCTCTTCAGCTGGAAGCTGGTTTGTTCTCTCCCACAGAAGGCTGTTGCTGATGACATCCGGTCAACGGTTGTTGAGTATCTTGCGTAGACAACTATTTATAAATACTTCAACCTTCTTGATGATGGTTGTGGTAGTTCACCACATTTCAGCTCCGTACAGTTTAACTGTCTTGACGTTCATATTGAAGATTCTGACTTTGATATTGGTTGGTAGACAGTTGTTTTGAGTTTAATATGCTCATCAATTGTAGAAATACGGCCGTTGCTTTCACAATTCTCGCCTTTACGTCTGCATCCGATCCTCCTTATTCATCAATGGTGCTGTCCAGGTACGTGGAAGAATCCACCTCTTCCAAAGATTCTGCTTCACTAGTTGTCTTCATATGGATTTATTCCTGTGTATGGGATAGAAGGACCAGGTTATTTGAGAAGTCCAAATCTTCTGGTTCATTCCGAGCTGTCCATTGTATTCCATGTTTCCCCTCAGATGTGGAGATCTTCATAATACAGTCGACCACCAGAAGAAAGAAGAAGAGGAGGAGAGAGGGACTCCGTTCCTTACTTGGAATGCATCTGTCAACTGTCCCTCACGCACCTGGAGATATGCTCCATGTTAATATACATTCAATAATAGAAAATTTATAATTTCAGCTATTTACCAACTCACTATATTGCATCTATCTTACTTTGCATAATGTTGTAGCATTGGTTTGTTCTATAATATGGATTGTTTTATTCAAACATCTTTCCATCATCTTCTCACACTGAAATCAAAAATAAAATAGTCAAATAACTTCTAAAACAAATTAAACATTTCACAAAAGTAATGAATATACCTTTGGAAATAATTGTCATAATGCCATAAAGTTAATAGACATTTTCAGAACTTAAACGTTTATAAATTAAACTTTTAGTAACGCCTCGAACACGTAATTAAAAGATCACTTTTATGGGAAACTTTATGTAAAAGGGATTCTTATATATATATTGGATTATAGCTCTAATTGTTATGATCTGATCTATACGACATCATGAAATACGATTGCCTATTTAGATACGCTGACTTATACGATCAAATTAATGACGCATACACTGTACGAGCAGCCCAGAGTTCCGATTGGTCCTTTGTCCGTCTTATCCTGTCTATTTAGTCCAGAACGTCAATCTTGACCTCCAAGATACGAACCATATATTTTGAAAATACTTGGTTTATATACAAGCAAATCAGACTACATCACACCATAAAGCAGAGAATAACATTTGTACAAGTTCAAGCCGAAAAGTGGCTGTGACTGTGAGAGACTGTGACTAATGGATTGAGAATAGCAAATCATATAATAATAGCCATTAGGTCGAATAAAAGCCTATAATGAAAGGAATATGAATGTACATATAATACAGTCATTTAATAATAGTCATAAAATAGGAATATGAGTATAATATTAGCCCGTACGTAATTTCTAACGTTTACCATTCATTTATCCTCGTCCGGATGTAATACTTATACATACTCATGCTAAAACATATCTTTCTATTTCTCAGTAGTTCAAATCAATTTTTATAGGTTGAAATAGGAAAAGAAGCTAATAATGAAATTTCTAACTTGATTCACTTATCAAATTTAATCCAGTTATAATATCGGTCCTATTTTAACGAATTCTGTTTACATTGAAATATATGAATTCTCAAAGTATGATCGTTGTGCTTTTGTATGTTATGACCCTGGTAATGTCCAGAAGTGTTATCCTGATTCTATCTTTACATCACCCCTGTAAAAATGATCTTTAGGTGATTAAAAAACAGTTTACTGAAAACAAATACATTAACCTATTTCGTATAAGCTAACAAAAGAAAAAAACATAGATTATAAACATAAGTGAAGATTGTTTATATATATGTATCAGTGGGAAAGGTTTCCGTTGAATGATGCCATATGACTTAATGAATGGACAAGAATGGCAAATTATAATCCTGACTATGACTATGAAAGTGTTCCAGGGGTTACCCATGGATTGATATTAAGTGATACCTTGTCTTGTGTTTGTCAGTAGTGTGTAGTAAGTTTTAATAATTATCTGTTTATATTGTTATATTTTTGATTTAGATATTTTCTCGTGTTCAACTTTTTTTATATATTGCCTCACGGTACTTTGTTAGAACTCATCTCAGTTACCGCTTTCAGTTATTACCATCCAGCTCAACTTAAGACTCAGTTTATATATTGTACTCAAGCCTACACTTGCACTAATTCTTCTAACGTAAATGTTTTAGGTCACAGGACATCTCTATGATCTGTAACTATGTGACAACCAACAATAACACTAGGAACTACATCAAACAGAATGAAGATTTTTACAAGAATATTCACTATCAACATAATGATTACAAAGATAATTGTAATAGAACTCATAACCGAGTACTTATACTTAAGGAAGCCAGTTTTACAAATTGGTTGGCTTATTCAAACTATTAACCGTTCATACAACTTTTCAGTTTAGTCCATCGGCTTTCATAGTTACCTCACTGGTTCACCAGTTAGTCAGTAAATTGTGGATTATATTAAACTCATTGATTTACACTTGTATGAGTCCTGTTTGTAAGAAAATGTAAATGATATCTGGCTTATATCTTGTCTTATTGCGAAGTACTCAGAAAACCCCTGTATCACGATATATCAATTGAAATCTTCCAAATTTTTAAACTTATTATTGTAATATGGTATTATCTGCAATTCTGAATTATAAGTTAGTCGATACTCCATTAAAATAAAATATACAGAAGTTCTACAGTAAGTATTTGGATTTTTAAGTAGAAATTCCATACACTGATTTTGTACAGCAGCTTCACAAATAGCATGTTGAAATCTGTAATCTATTCTCAGACAATGTTTTTTGGCGTCAGTGACAAATTTTGAAACTTATAATAAATTCCTAATGCCTAATAGGAATATTCGCAGTTTACACTAGAATGCTGGGTGTATAGAATTCTCAAGCTGTATTAGCTAAACATTATCGACAATAATGACATGTCATTGATAAATATCTCTATCCAGCTGAACACTGACCAATTACTATGAAAAATCATTTTCCAGGGTCTGTCATAGTTACAGACATATTAATAGCAACATCTGTTGAGTTGTTATTTTCTATGTTCTCTAATTCACATTTTAGCGAAACGAATTGATCCACTTGTTGTTAAATGTTGATAGTGTTACAGTCGGTGTGTTAAATTGGTAGATAATTAAAACTAAGTGTAAAATCATTTGCATGACAACTGAATAAATACAACAACAACAAAATTTAATTTACCTGATGTCTGAAAAATAAATAAAATGCACAAGTTGATTTAATATATTTTTCAATCTGTTCATCCAATGAAGTTGAGTTTAAATATGTTTGCCATTTGGTAATATATTGTATACACATAGAACAAGCTAAGTAAGAAAGTGAAAGATTTTGATTGATCGGAAATTGGCTTACTGGAATTGTCGTTTGAATGGTAATTAACCGATTCTTCTATGTTCGACATATCCACATCCTGAAACATGTAAATTTGTAAAATAAATAACTGTGAAGAGAGAGACCCTGGGCTTTTTATATTGTCAAGTTAAGTAGTAAATATTGAAATAATCATAGTCAAAAGTAGAAGATCATTTATTTTATTCATGTTTAGAATGAAAACTGGTTATTTAGCAATCATCATGACATCCTAATGCAGAAAATGACGTTTAACATTTGCGACTAAAATATTTTGATAGAAGTATTGTGTAATATACACCTGAATCGAGCTTCGATTCATTTAGATGTTCAAAACAATTTCATCAATTGTTTTTTTAATCATGACAAGTGGTCGTGAATTGTGCTATTATCATTACCGACTTATACATATCGTCAATCCTTGCATATACTTATCAACTTAACTAGCGTCAATAAATAACAGAGTTAAATAAGTCAAATACCAGAACGAAGTTTTGAATACATACATTTCATACAATGGCTGATCCAGACAAACGATCAGAGAAATGAAGTGAAGAGAAGAGAGCAGAACCTAAATGTTTCTGTACGACAAAATAAAACTATTATCTAGTTCCGAACCCTATATGGAAATAGATCTTACAAGTACATAGATAAAAGAAAGTCCGCTGATATATTAAACAGCTTTGATTATTTTTGAGATATTTCTCTACTTCAATACGATAAGTCTGATTAATTATTACAAGTAATAACTGACGATTTATATTTGTTGGTAATATGTGTTTCACTGATACTAGTCAAAATCTTTATGTTTATCTAAATATAATATTTTGAAAATTTAATAATATATTTGTTTATTCGAAGAAAAGTGAAATGTATGATTATCAAAGAATCATTACAAACTATTATTTACTACTTTGTATTCATATGGTTATTCATAGAAAACCCTACTTATTTTAAAATACAAGACACTTAAGTTTCATAGGGGAAAATCTAATAATCAAGATGCTTGAATGGGTTTCGATTATTAGTTTTTAACGCTTATATATTTCACTGATTGAAATCATGAGTCAATTGAAGCTAGACCACCATGGGAAACCTGGAAGCACTGGACGGCCGTTTCCTCCCAGTGTGGGACTCCTCAGTAGTGCGCATCCACGACCCCATACATCGCGAGATTCGAACCCAGGACCTATCAGTCTCGCACCAGGAGCTTAACCAATTAGACCACTGAGCAGGCATCCAACGGTGTTAATGTCTAACTTCAACTAATGCACGAAGTTGCGCCACCGTACATCATTGTCTTCAGTGAGTTGATATCTCACAACAGACCCGGTTGAACTCCACTTGTAACGGCTTCTCAATGGAACCCCAGGAGCATATCTTGAAGTCAGTCACTAGTGAGCAGATGATTATTATCAGAAGGGGTTTTGTGGAGATTTTAGAAATTTTACTGATTGAAATCATTAGTCAATTGAAGCTAGACCACGATGGAAAACCTGGAAGCACTATACGGCCGTTTATTATCTCCATTTCATTGAAATAAATCCGATTTCCAATAAATGACTAAAAAAATCCAGAGTAATGAGGATTGAAATAAGGATAATATAATGCATATTATATATATGTAGTAACTGTTATCAAAAAGGTTTACCTTGACAGTGTAGGATAAGGTAACTCCAACTTGAAAAAAGAAGAAGCAAAACAATAATTAATCATTATTCAACTTTAAAATATGCATAATCATACTTATCATAGTGATTATAACATAGATAAAGTATTTCATGATGCTACAAAATAGTTTCTATTATTTTGCATTAAATATAAATGACATTTATATTAATACGGAATCTTTCTTGTTACATTATTCAATATTATTATACACAATATAGTTTGAAGTTCAGTCTCGTTCACTTCTATATCAGGTAATGTATTTTGTTATGTAATAAGTTGTTTATTATTTTTATATACTAATCTGTTTAAAGTTAATTCAAGTGTTTCGTAGGCAGATAAAAACGAAAGGTGTAATTCACTAAAAATATTTTGTTAAAACGTTTTTTTAAATAAAAATAAACATTTATGGATGTGACGCATTTTCTACCTGATCCGATCACAGCTTATCTGATCAAATTTCTATGAAGAATATGTTTGATGAATTTTAAAATGATCACATAACAATCATGTTTCTTTCATTTAAGAATGATGAACAATAAAGGCCAATACATGAATGTATAACAATTATTCACTATGTTAATGGTATTGCAGTGAATGAGAACACATTGGGTGGGACAGCCAAAAGTAAAACATTACAGAATCTCTTAGTAAAACCTGAGAACAATACAGTAATACTTCATTTGCAAAATATTCACCAATTGTCTCAGAATTCACTGTTCTTTAGTTTCGACATCAATCATTCCCTGTTCTCATTCTATCTCCTTCGATCTTCTTAATCTTCTGCCATGAGGGATTCCACTTTTGATGGTGTTATATACTACTTATATCTATCGACATAAGTAGCACACACAGCAGTATCAGGTTCTTTAATAACTGAATTCATGAGTCAATTGAAGCTAGACTATCAACAGTGCGCATCCACGATCCCTCCTAGCAAGATTTGAATCCAGGACCTGTCAGTCTCGCGCGTGAACGCTTAACGATTAAACCACTTAGTCAGCATTCAACGGTGTTAATATCTAACTTCAGCCAATCACTTTCATCAATAATGAAATAACCAACTTGATTTTATAAGATCATCATGCAAATGGTTGAAGTTCAAACATATAAAACGTCAGAAAATTCTCAACACAACAATTCTCAATATATCTTGAATCATTGATTCATAGTATTTCCTGGTTATCATTCTGAAGATGATAGTTTCAATCACAATCGAGCGAAAAGAAGACACATGTTGTTATTATGGTTAATTTTGAAGAAAACGTCCGGACTGAACTATGTTGAAACAAAAAGCAAGAGATGAACTTGAAGAAACATCTATATTAATATCACTTAAACGGAGAGATGTTGAATCAACCAAATGACCCAGTAGATCAATTCACTGTTTGTCAAAAGCATTTTTATAGTAAGATATGGGTCAGAGAAACGACTCGCACACTGATAAATATTCAAAGATGTATTCTATATATGACCGAGATTGGCATGTTCTAATAAAGTAATGGTTTGATGGTAATCCCATGAACTATTGGAGTTTCATACGGAATTTCAAAGACTGTTTCGGTGAAAATGTTAGATGCCGAACTAGGTTAGGCTATTTGATTCAGTATTGGGACAAACATTTTTTATCAAAAGCTGACAAATACCGGTTTGTGATAACAATTTAAAATTTACGAGTACTTGATAAAAGGTTGCACTGAAACGGCCAGAAAAACTGAATCTTTCTGTGTTTTTAAATTTTTACGAAATCTTTATTTCTCTTGAGTATGATTATCATTGCATCTCCTCTCCGTCTATATCATTAATTTAAACACTTCCTCTTTGATTTGTTTACTTAATTACAACCCACCAATCTATGATGCATAAGTCTATATACAATTCATTCAACGTTTTGTATTTTTGTCTTACAAACGTAAAATGTATTAGTGACTTTTTTTATACTACGCTGCTGACAATATGTGCTTTGGTCAATTTGAAACAGATGACTTTGAATTTCTCGCCACAAGATATTATCATTAATTGATTGTTAATATTAAAGGTATTATGATTTACTTCGGTGCCGACCGGCAATCAAATCCGAGATGAGTGTTTCGTCTTACATTGCATTTCCTAGCTGTATGTATTAGCATAACAGCGTCAATATTTGCACAGAAATTCAAACGACATAAGAATTGTTTCAAACAACAATGAGTTGTCGATTGAATTACTATGTTCAGATGAACAGCTATTTGTTCAAAGAGTGTGATAATAATGTACATGTGTTGTTTATTTAATCCTGATTATAAAGAGCACAGTGATACAAACAAGTAAGAATAACATTGTGTCACATCTTTTTGATCATATTTTTATTTACAGTTATATTTATAACATGTATTTCATTATGCTTAAGTATTTATCAAATTGTGTTCGGCAAACAAGCAGGATAATAATAAGCTAGATACTTTGGAAATAAATGACTTATGATAATATAGCATGATGATATCTTCACACTGTATTCGACTTCACTTGGTATCCTATAAACAGGTACTCCATCAACGGTAATGATTGTGGCTTACAGAATCAACCATCATCATGAATGATATGAATAATAATCGTCTCTCTGAAGCTTTAATTATTCCGTTGGGCTAAAACTAATCTCACTCAATGCTTTCAAACTGTAAGAAGCTATAGAGAGTATAGTTTCTTCATAAAATTTATTTTGATGTTACGTGAATTTCTCACTAATAACTAAAATGATATTCGAATATTATATGGTTGAATTTTTTTGAATAAACACGTAGTGAAAACGTGTAACTTTTATTAGACTAACTTTATCGCGTCGGTGAACATCATTAACATATTTAGTATCGGAAGGGGTTTTGTAGATTTTGTGTAGTTCTAGTAAGAAGTAGTGACCAGTGGAGCTCAACCGGGTCTATTGTGAGATAGTAACTCACTGAAGACATTGGTGGATGTGTCGCTCAATTTCGTGAATTAGTTGAAGTTAGACATGAACACCGTTGGATGCCGGCTCAGTGGTCTTGTTAGTTAAGCGCCAGGCGCGAGACTGATAGGTCCTGTGCTCGAATCCCGAGAGGTGGGATCGTGGGTTCGTACTGCTGAGCATCCCCACAATTGAACGAAACGGCCGTCCAGTGCTTCCAGGTTTTCCACGATGGTCTAGCTTCAAATGACTCATGATCTCAACTATTAAAAATTAACATATTTGTTTCTTGTATGAATGCTACAGGGTAAACATAGTTTGTTGATTGAATCATGTGTCATCCTCTTCTAGAAGAAGGAAATCAAAAGATACTTTAACTAATGCATCAAAATCTATTTTGATGTAATTAGGCGTAAAATTTTGTTCTTTCTGTATAACTTCCAAATAGGAAACATTTCAAGTTTGAATACAATCAGAAATTAGTACGCGGTTAAAAATTGTTGTGTCCCGATAAGAATAACGAGTGGTAATTTTTTGGGATCTACTTATGGATCAATATTGTGCGTATATTTTTGTCGTATAATTGTTAATTAACTAAACTATTCATATTCACGTCTCTCTTATCATAAGCTTTATTTTAACCTATGAACTGTTATTATACGATTTTTCATTCTTGAATTATGCCCTGTCTATCAATCACTACCTCCCACATTCACAGCCAAATTTGGCCAAATCTTGTACGAATGTTATTTTCTATTTTATGGTACGATGTGGTATGCTTGATTGGTATATAAACTCAGTATATTTGAAATATAATGATTCATATTGCAGAGGCTGAGACTTGTGTTCTGAACTTAACTGGCTGGGCTAAGCAAGAAGTAGGGCCAATCAGGACTCTAGGCTGCTCGCACGTATTTTACGCGTCCTTGGTCCGATCGATAAGTCACTGCCCTCTAATCGGCGGTCACAAGTTATAACAAAAATAAAACGTGTCTGGTTGTTACTTATGATTTTTCTTTAATAGCACTCTTCAATATGCCAACTAATATAACTCATTTTGTGGGTGATTATGTATTTACGATTAGTTTGCAATAGTGTATTTTACTTATGTTTGTTTCATTGAAATCATCAGATTTAACACGTTTTGAGGAATTTCATCAGTTGATTAAAATGGCAGAAAATGTAGATGAATAAAAAATTATTGTCCATATAAAGTTGGAAAGAAGTTGAACACTATAGCAATAGAAAATTGGTCATAAATAGCTTATCATATATGATCAAACAGATCAAGCGGACGGAAGAGGGTACAGTGAGTTCATAGAGACTTATCGCTGTTATAAACATTATAAATAAATTGGATACGGTATATAAAAACGATAGCATTAAAAAAAGTGCAGAAAATAGGCATAGATGAATAAGTTACAGTTTCTTTTGTTCTGAATCACCTGCTTTTCAACTACGTGAATATTCCGGTACTTTGACTGACTTGGATTTAGAATAACATATATAGGCGAACAATATTATTTCCGACTAGAGCCTCAGCAGGCTTCACTTCGATATACGGTAATATTTATGTGCATTTATATGCTATAAGAAAAGTTTTTACATGTAATTTCATAATATACTTGTATGGAAAGCTCATAATCATTCATGAGCTTAATACCAAACTATTCAAAAAGGAAATACTATCATAAATAGTTTGTTATTCCTTTACTATTCTTTGAACAGTTGAGACTAGGTTTAATATACTACGTCTGGAAGCATATATTACTGAATGGCTCACACCACATGTATATACGACGAAATGCGTGTCCTGGATTCCACTGCTAGCGACTATCCGTCTTTGTTTAGTGCTTGTGAATTAAGGCAATATCGAGGCGATCCACACAGTATGTACTTATGCCAACAAGAGACTAATTAATTGCATTTCTAAACATCAATTAGAAGATATCAAGTGAAAAGAAGATATAATGAGACAATAATTTATGAACTAACCACTCAGGTATAAGACAACAGGTTTCGGATTTTGACGCGAAATTCATTCATCCATTTGGACAAGCAGAGTTTTGGTATTATAGCTGATGTCAGTTCGTGATGAAAACCATAAATCTGATTTCTAACCTTAATCATCAACTGTAAATTATAATTATAATTCCTCACACAGGTTTATAACCCTCATTTAGTTCTGGTAACTGAGTGGACACTCTAGAGATTATAAAAGATTATCAGTAATAAAATTTTTACATTTTCCTAAAATAAATCTAATACAAACTCTAAAATTTAATAATAAATATCAACTACAAATTAGATTTCCATTTTCAGAAGGAGTTTTTGTGGAGATTTTAGTAATTTCAATAGTTGAAATCATGAGTCAATTGAAGCTAGACCACCATGGAAAACCTGGAAGCATAAAGTTGCTTAAATAAATGTCCTTGTAAACATCTCGATTGAGATAAATATTAGTGTAGTATAATATTATTGTTTATTACATTAGAAATATTCAGTTTGCTTAAAATGTATGATCAGAGTCTGGTTATTTTGAGTGGCTTTAGACCTTTATTAAGATTGCCGAGCACAAAGTTCATGAATGCATTGGCCATATAACAACTTTATGTATATTCCTGAATATAATTCTGATATCAAAGGTCTAAATAGTATAAACTACATAAATATAAAGTTATATAGTTTTCTAGTTATCATCTTAATAGATTACTACCAAACTGAAGTTAATATAATTGGTCATTTATATCAACTATACATTAAAATAAGATCAATGTATTCTTAAAGTATTGTTATTACAGATTTAAGAAATGTTCATTTTATTCATTGAAAATTAAAATCATATTTATTTCCCATAATGAATTATTTATCTCTCAAACACGTGTAATATAATACAAGGCTAATTTGTAGTGGTTAATACTATATCAAGATGATATAGGCTATTCTAGCATTTGACCAAACCAATTTATTCACTCAATCAACACGCAATCTAACTGGAGTCAGAGAGGGTCACTAAAAGTTTAAACATTTTTTTGTTTGTAACTTGACTAATGCAGTCAGCTATTTATTGATTTATTTATTTGGACACATAAACATTGGTACGAGGGGGCATCAAATACATATGCGCCACACAGTAACAATGAGGCCAGTAGTAGTTATCATTGGTTTGTGTGAAGGTAGCTATATTTCCTGGGTGCGCAAACTAAAGCAGGTGGTTCTCTCAGGGGACTAAACCTCAAGCCTTTAACGTAAAGGTGCAATCTACAAGACAGTGGAGTAACGTTAGGAGATACGGTCCCATGGTAGTCGGTGACCAACAACAGATTATACGTCATTTATCTCCCCGGGATCCTGGGGCGCATCTGCACTATTCGTTTGGAATCAAGGTATTCCAAGTCCCATGGGTGGATTCTTCATATCCACCAAGCCGGTAAAAGCAACGGACATTTACATTTTGTCCTCTCAATTTCGTAAACAATACACTTGTCGCGAAAGGTAGTGAGTAGGACTTCCCTGACAATGGCTGTATAAACGTGGCCATGTGAAAACATTTCGAGAAGGAGAATGGACTCTCCTCACCCTCGGACATACCAAGGCATTTGCGAGCAGTCAACTATGTGAGGTGTTAATTATTTCACTTGACAGTTATATGTGATTTCATGTATTGCTTTAGATACTTGTTTGATGGAGAAACTCTAAAACTCTATTTATAGTACAATAATTTCATTTTAAAAGAAGTCGAAATACATGGAAGCTCTCATCATATTCTAGGTTTTATCCTACCAATTTTGTCTGAGTTTTTATATACAGAACTGTTAGTTTCAGAACTCATATTTAGTGTAACGAAAACGGATGAATTCATTGTACACTACACATATACCTATCAAATAAATTTGTCCACAGAAATAGTGATAACTACCTTGATAAGTATGATTCAAAGATAACTAGGTAAGAAAACATCAAAGACTAATCAGTAAACAAATAAAACGTTTATTTATGTTAAACTAAACTTTACAATTGATTAGTAATGTTATTCAATCCTCAATTTATATGACGTACATATTCAGAAGCATCGTAAAGTATTTTTGACATTTATTATCTCCGTTTTATTTATATAGATACATTTCACATGGTGTTAGCAGACAAACTGGAAACTATTCAAGTGATCAGTATTACCAATACAATTATAAACTTCAACAACCTTGATTATCTTTTCTCGACACATAGTGTCATGTTTTAACTATTTTAAACATCTCATTTCGTTGTTTGACGGCCCATGATTGCACTCCCTATTTGAATGGACGAATGAGTTAGGATGCTTGGCTTCTCTGCTTTGCTTCTCCTCTTAATGTGTGTTTAAGTAAACTAGATTATGAAATAAATCTATCCAGCTTAACCCGTATTTGGTTTCTTATTACCATTGTCACTCAAACGAGATTATACTAGGTGTAATATGCGGAGTTAAACGGAAGATATATGTCCATGGTATACTCACTCATTCGTTTAAACAGGTACTCAGAATACAAGCCACCAAAGTGGTGAGTCTGATGTGATTCGAACAGGCAACCTTCTGATCTAGAATCAGATCACAGAGCAACAAAGTTTTTGCCTGACATCATTATTTTAGCTTCTAACATGATCTAACTAAGTCAAGTTTTTGAAACCAACATTTCCAATCACATTACTCTTTAACTAATGATTGTTTGCAGCTGACGAGAAGCCTTGAAGTAGGACGGGTTTATTTTATCCTTTGAATTTGGTTCTTCTTGATTTATATGTATGACATTTTATAATAATGAGAATAAATATATTAGCAAACCCGTTACCCAAACTATGGATTTATATTGTTTTTTTAATATATCCACTGAAATTCGCCCCATGCACACAGTGTCATCTATAAATAAAAGCGTTACAGTATTCCATGACCTCAGGCTATTGTTGTCACGAATTGAAAAGAAAAATCAGGAGATTTTGCCTTGTTTTATCTTACTTATCATTCGGTTTCTTATTATGATTGAGCTGGTTAGCAACAGAGTATGATATTTATCTCTATTGAATCTGCTTAGTTCCTTACATTGCTTGGGGATTTTTGTGTTGTAATTTGAAACTTTACGATAATCACCGCTGAGGGCTACATTCGACCACTTTACGGTTGGTGTATTCCAATGCGTAGTCGCCCTTCTTTAATGTAGCGAGTCGGTTATCTAGTTTATTTTCTTGTTCTTATTGCTTAACTTTCACGTGTACTTTACTGTTTGAACCTCTGATTGTATATTATTCAATGAGTTCTATATTCTCATTTGAAAGGAGCGTTTTCTATTTGACCACAACTTTGATAGAGTAATTGATTTGGAATTTTTCTCTCTCAGTGTTTATTTTCATTTCCGTAACTACACTGTATAAGCAGAAAAAGTTTTACTTGTTAGTGTTGGATATTTTAAGTAGTATTCGTTCACTAGGAGTCTCTGTACAAAAAATTTAAACTCTCCTTTCATTTGATGTAAACGTTTTCCTCCTTGCTCAACATTGAACTAACTTAGTTTCATATAACCGATATTGATAATGTGATAGCTAGTGATATGTGCATTGTGATTGAAGATAAGTGTATAACCATGGGTCTAAGTTTCTGATCAATCAGCCAACCACTGAAATGTATCTTATCGACAAATTCCAACCACTTAACATTAAACTGTAGTGTACGCGAGGTTGAATGGCGTATAATATTGCTCATAATTCAACATCTAGTGCTTTCAGGTTTTTAACAGTGGTCTAACATAAGTCGGTTCATAAGTTCAATGAAATTCGGCGACCTTCACAACCTCAAACTGAAACGTATTAAAGAACCTGACACACAAGACATTGATCACTACTCAATGTTTAGAAAATGTGGTAGTGAGATAGTCTTAGTTAGCTTAACGTAACAACAAAATCAACAGTGAATAAATCCCATTTTTCATGATTATTAACTGTCAACAAATGTACTGTTGTAATTGCTGCTCACAACATACTGACCATTTGACAGACTATAACTTGTTATTACATCTACTTGCCTCATTTCAAGCATTCAAACATAAATAAATACAAATAAATAGTTCTAAGTTAGACGACCATTAAAAACCTGGAAGCACTGAACGACCATTTCGTCCCATCGTGAGACTCCTCAGCAATGTACATCCATGACCCCACACACAGGACTCAAACCTAAAGCCTTCGATGTCATACGCAAACACTTAACTTCTAGACTCCTGCGGTATTAATGTTTAACTCCAATCGATCGACGATCTCACGCAGCCCTTCATCCATTGTCTGAAGTAGATAACTATTTCACACCGGACACGAACTAGACTCCAGTAATCACGGTTTCTCACTTGAACTCGTTAATTCAACTGTAAAAATACTACAATTTCCACTAATTCCCATAATGACAAGTGAATAAGCTTATTATAGTGCTATGTGGACATGTAATCATCTATAGTAATATTAACATCTCAGTTAAAAAATATTTTTGTGACAAGAATTTCCATTTTCTTAATATCAAATTATTTACTGAAAAGAAATTGAACTGAAATTCATCCTTCTGAAAAAGAATATTTAAAATAAAGAAAAGTGGCAAAGAAAAAAAGTCATATGAAATCGAAAAAAATAATTCTATTATGAATTTTACTTTCACTGAGCTCACTCTGAGCACACTCGATAAAACATAGTTATCTAAGTGTTCTTTTTTTCTCCATAAAACTAATCAATTCCTGCCCCTAACAGACTGTATTTTTAAAGTATTTTTATATTAGTGAACAATGTTAACGTATAATGTTATTATTGTTGTCTTAGGTCTCTATTGTATAAAATATTAATTACAAGGACTTATCCCGACCGTTGTTGCTACCTTGATGTGGTGGTCGGGCTTACCTATCGTGATGAAGCAACCGAGCTATACTCGCCGGGACAACCGTTCCTCAAGGTCCTACCATGTTAGACAAGTCGGTTGAAGAGCAGTAAGACTAAAAGTATTAAACACAAGGTCCGAAGGCGAAGTCGTACTGCTGACTGTACAGAGGTGTGACAACAGTAAGGTGTTTCCTTCAGACAACTAGCATGAAAGCGATGCTGCCTTCCCACAAGGAGAGATGGGGTTAGAAAAGGTCGACCCTAGAAATGCACACCTCGCCTTATCCCACGGATATTCATCTCCAACGGTAAGGTCTCAGCAAGTACGGAGCTAAGACGGAAATTACTCATAAAAGATCGTGTGTGACCGACCTGAAGCAGTTGTCCCTTGGGCATTGCGGCCACGCTCTCAGGTTACCAAGACAACATCTAATCCAATTTTATTTTCAGGCACCTCCAGAAGAACCCTTCGACGGTGTGTGCAACCAGGAAGTGATAATCGCCCTCATACCTCTAACAGCACTCAAGACTGATCATGAAAATGAACAGCTAAATTCATTCTGTTGAAGTTTAATCAATGAATGTATTAGATTGTTGAATGTAGATTAGTTTAATGATTGTATTTTTAATCAGAGTGGAGTTTTGTGGATATTATTAGTAATTTAATAGTTGACTTCTTGAGACCACCATGGAAATCCTGGAAGCACTGGACGGCCGTTTCGTCCCAGTATGGGACTTCACAGCAGTGTGTATCCACGATCTCGCCTTGCAAGATTTGAACTCAGGACCTATCAGTCTCGCGCACGAACGCTTAGTCATTAGACCATTGAGCCGGCTGTCATCCAACGGTGTTAATGTCTAACTTCACCTAATCCACAAAATTGAGCGACACATCCACCATTGTCATCAGTGAGTTACTATCTCACAACAGACCCGGTTGAACTTCAATGGTCATGACTTCTATTTTTACAGGAGAATGTCAAACACATTTTAAATGATTAATTTTATAAAGTTTATAAAAAAAGTCAGTGAGATTGTTTGATAGTGATTGGATGATCTATTTAAACAAAATAAATAAATACAAAAATTAAATAGGTATATTTCCATAAAACTTAAAATTAGTTACATTTCAGAACCAGGAAGTGAACAATTGCAGTGTTTTGGCAAGCCAGATTCAGGGATGTTAGCATAGTTGTAATTTAAAAACAATTCCTAAGTTTAGTAACTCCGCTTGAAGCCCTTTCGGAGCTACTGTCGGTCCCAAGCCGGGATAAAGCAGGAGCGTTGGCTTGAAGTTAGCAACCTCTACCCGTAGAAAACTAGCTCGTTCAAAAGAAAGCTGGCAAAAAAATATTATTCAAAGCATTTAAACTCTGCCCTGAGAGTTATAAAGTTTTCATTTAGAAGAGTTATGACGTCTTGTAATGAAAGCCGAGTTACTTCAGAAGTCACATGGCTGATACCCCTTCTGACAACCAGATCAATGTGGGAGACCTTACTTTTGGTGAGAGATCATTTCTTTCCATTCTCTAATAATGTTTTTTCAAATTAACCAAGTTGTACATATAATGTATATTTGTTTATTTAAGCCAGTAAGTTTTCGCTATAAAATGAGAAACATTAGCTATTTTACCTAAGCTGGTATACATTTAGAAATGACTAAGAAGGTGAAATCATTGTGAAATTTCCCCACTTCTGATTTTATTACAAACAGGTAACGTAAACAACGTTTTATGTAAAAATAGTTTATAAGTATCAATAATAAGGTTGGGCTTGACAGTTTCAAATAAATTGGACATTGGATAGAGAGTTAATAACTAATAAATATATTTTTGTTATATCTTAACGAGTAGGGAAATTGTAGTTCTGACGTTTCGTAACTTAATGTAAGCAACTTCTTCAGAATAAATAAAAAAATATTTCCTCTGAAGAAGTGACACACGAAACGTCAGAAATATAATTTTTCTACTTATTGAGATATAACAAAAATATATTTATTAGTAAAAATAGTTGTTTCTATTAAATTGTAAGCTAGTCTACATTTCTAATATGTATAATTAAGTTTATTAAATGTACACATCATATTAATTTCTTTCGTGAATTATACGATTGTATGCTGATTATGTAGTGAACGAGAACATAGGTGGGGGCAACCAAATATATTTTAACACAAATTAGTCAAAACTGAGAACCATACAATAAATACTTAATCTGCAAATTATCCATTAATTACCACAGACTTAACTATCCCTTCGTTTCTACATCAATCATTCCCTGTTCTCGTTCTATTTTCTTTGATCCTCTTAACCTTCTGCCGTTAAGCATTTCACTTTCGGTTGATGATACATACTACTTATATCTGTCGACATCAGTAGTACACACCGAAATTATACTTTTTAAGTAACTAACTCTGAATGATTTCTTTTTAACAGTATTTAATTGGAAATGTTAATGTCTTAATTTTGACTCTTTTGTTAGCTAAAATACATATACATCAAGAAAACATTAATTTACCAAAATATAACATTAAGAAAGTAACGAGTATTAATTCCAACAATCGTCTAACGAGATGTATCGACTTGATGTGTAAAAAAGGTAAGTCTTTTGGAAATAAATTTGTATAAATGATTTTGTAATTCTTTTACACTAAAAAATAATAGTAACTATCCACTTACTTGTACTCAACCCGTTAACCTTTGAGAAATATTCCTTGGACACAGTGAAAGATACTGTAGTTGGAAATAAAAATAACATGAAAATCCACACAACTTGAAATTATATTGACATCATGATTGGATCAATGTTAAAACACCACTGAAAACTTGGAAGCACTGGACGATCTTCTCGTCCTAGTATAGGACAGTGTGCATCCACAATCCTGCACTCGAGACTCGAACCTAAGACTTGCGGTCTCGCGTGTGAATGCTTAACCAAATAGGATGAAATGACCGTACAGTTCATCTAAATTTCTAGTGGTAGTCTAACATTGATTCATTCACGATATCGATCTAAATTCAACAATTTCCACAATCCTATACTGATTGTTGAAATTAAAATTTTTCAAATTAATTTTATTCGGAGAAAAATAAATAGGAACAGATAATAGTCTTTGTATTAGGTACAGTAAGATGTGATATTTATAAAATTATTAGGAGAAAGATTATCATCATAATTTTAACAAAACTGATCCTGACTTGTACGAATTCATTGTTTACTTGTCATTTCTAAGCTTCCTAAGAAATAGTTACATGATTTTATCATATAGTGTTTTTGATTTCATTGAAAGAGGTATATTCATTTGGATTTGTGAACATTAAGTATAATTAGTTTAAGTATCCACAAGCTTCAGTTTATGATTTTACAGTTTTTGATATCAATTAAATGCTTCCATAAAATTTAGTTCAGTAAAGAAAGTTATGTATCCTGTATTCTGTGAATATATTCAGTTGACAACACTCGTAAAACGAAAATAAGTTCTATTTATATGCAGATACTCTATTAAAGGAAAATTATTCTAAAGGGTTAAGAAATATACGTTCAAATAATGTACGAGGACCGAAAAATCTGATAAAGCTTAGTGGCTTTCGATGGTTCTTTAATTGACAGATCTAAATTATTCTGTACAAATTTATGATCTGGTTTTATGGATTATTCATACTTTTCTATAGAATTATGAAGGAGATTAATTTCATCATCAATAAATAGAACTTACCTTGCATGGTTTCGATGAACTTTGTTTTATGAAATGAAAGACTATTTCGTCTGCTTGATGATATCCCCAATGAATACACTAGAAATATCAGAATACAAAAGAAATTATTAAATATGTTTACAAAAAATGAATATAAGCTAGTAAATATTATGAAAACAGTTGACATTTTCTCCCAATATTATATTTTTTTCTAATACAATTAGTTGTCTGAAAAGTCACTATTTTAGAAAGGGATCAAGCTAATATTTTGTCTTATTACTGTTTGCTTATAAAAACAGGTATATTTTATAAAATATAGCAAGATACCAAGGATTTCCCCCTTTTTTTATGATACAATTAAACCAAGCATGAAAAATGTTAGTTTCTTATGTTTTTCAATCTTTGAATATATTCGTTTTCAACTCCATGTTATTAGGCAGTTTATTTAATGGATTCTTAATCTTTATGCAGATTTCCTCGTCTAAACGAGACTTTAGATTTATTGGCTGTTATGTCCCGGTATGCATAATGAATGGTAGCTTTTGGGATCCATTTATGGACCAATACTAGACGTATATTTTTATCGTATAGTTGTTATGTAACTAAACTACTCATAGTCACGTCCCTCTTATTATGAGCTTTATTTTGACCTATGAACTATTATTATACGATTTACCATTTTTGAGTTATGCCGTCTATCAATTACTACGTCCCACATTCACAGCCACATTTGGCTAAATCTCGTACAAATGTTGTTTCCTATTTCATGGTACCATGTGGTCTGTTTGGTTGGTATATAAACCCGGTATGTTTAAAATAAATGATTCATATCTCAGAGTCTGAGATTGGTGTTTTGAACTTAACTGACTGGTCTAGGCAGGAAGCGGGACCAATAAGTACTCTAGACTGCTCGTACGGTTCTTACGCGTTCCTGATCCGATGGATAATTCACTGCTCTCTAATTGGCGGTATCATTACGTATACATTAACAGAGCACACAGGTCACAAGTTATAACATTGGCATTACCAAACAAAACTCTAGAAGGGTGATTAGAAATGAGATACACTTTTCTGGTAAATAGATTTTTAAAAAGTCAATAGTTTTTACACAGTGGTTAGTATTTACTTCTTTGATACTGAATTTCGATATCAAATATTTAATGTAAACAAAAAAGACTTATTAGGTAGTAAAATGAAATCATCAAAATTATACTGTATTTTAATGTTTAACCATTGTAAATTCAGTGACATGTTTTAATGCATTTAACAGCTATTTATTATTATGATAGCTAGTTAATCAATGATGAAATATGAAATAATCCCAAACTAATTGTGTTAGACGTTAACATCTAACAACTAATCATTTCTAAGTAATTAAATTATGAAGTTTTACTGATGTTTCGAAAACATGTGCAACACAACATCTGGTTCTGCAAGATTAGAATTACCAAATTTTTACGCTTTAATCTCTTATAGTAATTACTGACATACTGATAAATAAACTAAATATCTTTAAACCATCTTCTTTAATTCACTTGTAATTATATATGACTAGTCATGTTTAGAATTAAACTAACTTGAACTTACTCTTCTTGTCATAATCCCGGGTAATGAACATAGTTTTTCTATAAGCATTTTCTTTATACTATCCATGATTGGTGACACAAGAAACAATTTTCCAAGAGATACTACTCCCATACATATATCACACTCTAACGATAAACATATTGTTTAGTTACAAATAGCAAAATTTTATAACTTACCTATTTCGTTAACATCTATATTCAAAGATGATTTGGCCTAGACAAGAAATAAATAACAGGAATTTTAAACATCGTTGAATGTTGTATAAATAATCCAAAAGATTTTAATAAACGGCATGGCATAGTTTCTAATAGATCGTAATTTTATGATATTTGAAGTCATTCATGCAAAATATCCCATTTAATTCCACATATATAAGCTTCCTATCATGCAGTGATTTGAGACTCCAATTATCAAATGAGTTTTAGTAATAATCAGGGGGTTAGATAAGAATAGAAGGATTAAAATGATGTATGGGTGAAAATTATGAAAGATGATTGTTCGCTTGAAAAATACGAAAAAAATTTAGTAGTTAAATTCATGAGTTGATCTAAGCTAGACCACCGTTGAAAAGCTGGACTCATGAATTCATCTATTAAAATGACTACAATCTCCATAAATCCCCATTCAAATATGAAGAATAGCAAAAAAACTACGTAAGGGTCATAATAATAACAATCGTGAAAAATTGTCAAAGGATGATGATAAATGACAAGGGATTAAAATTATAAAATACTAATAATAACAAAACAATACTAAGAAGGGAATTAGGGCCATAGATGAGCGGTCGTGCTTATAGTATTTGCAATCAGAGTTCGGTTTTAAATTGGCAGATTGCCAACGCCTCAGCAGTGCATAAATTTTTGACTTATCCTCCCCTTAATCCACTTCTTTTGATCGTGTAGATTTTTCTTTATTTTTTTTTTCATATTTGTCATGAGGACAATCATATTTCATCATTTTGACCCGTACATCATTTTCATCCTTTTAATCTTATCTAAGTCTCTGTTTATTACGCAACCTCATTTGATAATTAGAGTTTAGAATCACTTCATGATGTAATATTTTCTATCCTTCTATAGATATATTTACCATACAACAATAGATGCAAATGTAAATGATTTCGTTCAAAATAAAACTTTCTCTCTCAATAGTCAATATTCAAGTAAACAATACCAAATGAATTTAAAATTCACTCCATAGCACAATGAAGTGGCTATCAGGATTCAGCAGCTAAGTGAATAATGCGATGGTATTTGAAGCGAATGATACTGAGGTCGAGTCCCACAGTGAACATCAACTCTTGGATACAGTTATATCCAACTGACGAGTCCCCAATGTAACAAAACGCTCGTCATGTATTCTGCTGCTAGTCACTATCCCTATGTGCTTACATTATTCATTACTTTGTAAACGATGTTTTTTTAATTTATTACATATATATGTTTGTGTGCATGCATAATCTCTCCGAAAGTTTTATTTGGACCTTCTACGACCTAACTCAAGTTACACATATTATAGATTAGATAAATTCATCATGTTTTTTAAGTAATAGAACTATCTTTCATTTCTAAAAACCCAGTCATCATCTAAATGGAAAATTAAAAAAGGTTTTTTCCTGAGATAACAAAGATTTACTCATAATATACGATACAGATCAATCAATTCTATAATCTTTTTAAACGGTCAAATCTGAACACTCAATTAAATACATAGGAAATAATTGACTATAATACCTTACAAAGTTTATACTTACATTTATCCCATTACTTTGCCATAAAAACACTACAAACAATGGTGATAAGTTAAGTATTATAAATAATATAACCTGTTAATAAGGTTAAAACGACACAATTAATATGGAACATAATCAAGATTCCACGTGTTATGATTAAAATAATTCATATATGTAGGCGTCTTATCTATGGTTGATCTTTCTTATTATTTAATATTTCAAGTGTTTTGTTGATAACTTACTAAGTTTAGCGTTAACCATTATTGTTTTTAATGTTTATAATAAGTGTTATCCGATATATAATTGTTTATTCCAAGAAAAAACCTCTATTAGAAACTAGAACTTTGTTCTTTATCTAACACATAACATATGAGGCATATGAAAACAAAAAACATAACATAAGAATTTCCATTATTATTTTATTTATACTTTGTACTTTACTAAATACAGTGTGTACTATAATTTATTTTGTTAAATCTATCTTTATTCCATTTGATATTATGTTATGCAAAGGGAGAAGCAAGATTCTCCGATAAAACATAGAATGAACCAATCGAATCACAGTTGATGGAGAAGCTTTGGACGATGTAAAAATATTTACATAGCTAGGTAGTATCATTGATGGACACGAGGGATCTGATGTAGATGTGAAGGAGCGGAGCAGCATATCTACACTTGAAGAACAACTGTCAATCAATACCAAAGTTGAAATTTTCAACATGAATGTCAAAACAGTTCTACTGTATGAGGAAGAAACTTGGAGAACTATGAAGGCCATCATCCAGAAGATAAAAGTGATTAATAACAGTTGTCTACGCAAAATACTTCGGATCCGTTGACCAGATACTATCAGCAACAACCTACTATGAGAGAGAACAAACCAGATCTCAGTGGAGAACGAAATCAGAAAGAAGCTCTGGAAGTAGATCGGATGCACATTAAGGAAAGCATCCAACTGTGTTGCAAGGCATGCCCTCACTTGGAATTGTCAAGGCCAAAGGAGGGGAGGAAGAGCAAAGAACACATTACGCCGAGAAATGTAGACAGACATGAGGAGAATGAACAAAAATTGGATAGAACTGGATAGGAAAGCCCAGGAAAGAATAGGTTAAAGAATGCTTGTCTGCGGCCTATGCTCCATTGGGAGTAAAAAACGCAGTAGTAGTATTAGTAGCAGTAGCAGTAGTAGTAGTTGTTGTTGTACTGGTAGTAATAGTAGTAGTATTATGCAGAATGATTCTAAATAAAGACTTTTTTCAAAGATCCTCACTTACTTTAACTATAATGATGAACTTGAAGGTTTAATAAAATAAATATATAGTTTTATCACTACAACCTTAGATTTGTGTAACTGAGGAAAAATCGAATGACATTTTTGCATTTCTTCATAGCAACATTCACTGTTCAAAGCTACAAAATTATCAAGAATGTGATAATTGGTTATGTAATATGTAATATTATATGTCTAGTATATGATATTATGTTCAAATTCGAATCCGATAGAATTCATGTAACATTATTTCAAACGCAAAATCAACCCTAATTCATTTCTAATGATATATTCATGTAGTATTATCAAATTTCAATGCATTTCCCTTAAACAATATGCGTTGAATGTTGTCCATTTGCTTTCGCCTACCAAGTATATAAGCTTTGAAAAATATTAGAACGCCTTTAATTTGTTATATGCTTAATAAATTATGTATGTAAACACAAAGTGACTGTCTGAATGAAATTATAAGACATGAATATGGTACTCGTCATACGAAATATTTTGCAGATATATTCCATATACAGGCTAAATAGAAGTCAAATTAGCTTAGGGAATCGGTACATAGTTGTATTTGTAACAACATGCATAAAAATGAATGCAACAAAACCAATATATTTGTTGAGACCATGAACCAGTGAACTTTAGAGCACTATTGAAAATCTGAAAGCTCCCGAATAGCGCACGACAGCTTAAAATCTAGACAACTGAACCGACATTCAGCGATGTTAATTTGTAACCTCACTCAATCCACGATACTGAGTGGCTATCTTTCATATCTCACATATTTATCAGAATCTAGGTGTTTTACTTAGAAGCTTGTCATAGATCAAAAGTGCAACATTAGGCTCATATTAACTTTCACTGAATAGATATTTCTTATGGAATTGTTTCCATAGATAAGCTACATGAACCTCCTCATTCATGTAAGACATTTTTTACATTTCTATCAAATGGTAAAATATTCGCATAATAATTTTCTATATAAGCAAAGATGGATAGTAACTAGCAGTGGAATCCAGGACGCGCGTTTCGTCCTATTTGAGACTCGTCAAGGGATGTACCTGCATCCCAAAGTTGATGTTCACTCTGGGACTCGAACAACACACAAAATGTTTAAAGTTATTTTGAAGCTTTATCTCATTATTATTATTATAGCTTCATCAATATGATATTGCATCCTTTTTGTTTGTATCACTATTATCACATAAAGTTGTGTCGACAGACATTTTTCGAAAACTGGTTTGCCTTTAGTAGAGATTTCTTAATTCAGATTTATATCTCAATAACAATATTTTTCATGTGTTTCATACAAGTAATACACTTCAATGAAGTGTTCCAATTTAGTTTCAATATATTAGATGATTTTCACAAATCAAATCAGCAACTTAAAGAAATTTAAATAAGACATTTTGAGCAGACAATTTATTGATGTTAAGATTTTGTGCTCACATCTGACTTTATTATTAAATATGGTTCCACTTTCTAATCTGAAAAAAAGTGATTCTCGATCAATATAACCAGGTTACTCATGAAAACATTGTTTACTCACGTTAAGGAAGTCTAAACTCTCTTAATGTTTGACATAAGTTGACTATAAATCGAAGAATATAAGCATAAACCTAAACCATTCCATAGAATTTATCATCACATTAAAATACATTCGCAGAGTTCATAATAGAAACACTGAATAAAGTTAAACATTATCCAATCAGTTGAAGGAAGGACTGAGAGGTAAAATGAAAGTTAGAATTCCAAACTCATCACTAAATCCCTATTTGTATTATGCAAGTTGGAATTTTACTGAACAATACACTCTTCAGAGTTTTTTTTACAATGAATGTACTATTCTTACTGTTTGTTAGTTATACATAAAATATTATGGTATTACTCTATAGAAAGAAATTGGTATGATGGCCTGAAACTAGGTTTTTTGCTGCCAAAGGTTCCCTATCAAGTTGTATCTGCAATCTTGATTTAATTTTCATCACATATTAATTTCTAACTAATATCAACAAGTGTTACGATATGAAAAGTTACAAATGAATTACTCATACCCCTAGAATACATTTTTAGTAACGGAATACATATGTAAGCTGTATTCATTTTCTTCTAAAGACTATAGACATGAAATATTAATAAAAGCTTCAAATACAGTAAATTTGCCTGATATGATGGCTGATTATTATTATCCGTATTATATTATGATCAATTAACATATTCGATGCATAAAGCCAATACCAAAATCTTTGTGCTGCTACAAGGATACTTGACGTTTTGTTCAAACTAAACCGTTAAAGGACTTTTATGAATCTTTTGTCATATATCATTTACAATATAATAAATCAATTCAACATTGAAGTTTAATAATGTATTTACCATTCAACCTAACAAAAGACTATTTTGAAAGACTTTAAGGCAGCCTGCTCGAATATCGGGGCTACCAGTTCCTGCATTCTGAATATTGCAACAAGCTATCTGTTTTCTTGTTTGTTTTAACACATCATTATTAGCATAACCTATTCAGGTGCGTTTGTGAAAAGTTCATGGCCTTTCACTGTACAAGTTGGGAAAGAGCACGATCAGAGACATTGCGATTGCTGGCAATATCCATTGAAAAGAATAAACATTCTTCAGATTTCGATTCCTGAATTGCTAACATCTAACTGGCAACCATTCAATATTTATCTTAAAGATTGATCAAAAAACAAGAAAAAGAAACTTGTTGAAATACTTTGTGTTGATTATTCTATATTGTACTAAAAATAAAATACTGAGTAAAGCCACTAATAATAATAATTTGTGTATAATTATTAATACAAAGATTTAAATCAATCTGGAAAACATTATGAGCAAAGATTAATGGTGACTAGCAATATAATCCAGGACGTGTGTTTCGTCCTATTTTGAACTCGTCAGCCAGACGTACCTGCATCTCAGAGTCGATGTTCATTCTGAGACACGAAACCAGTACCGTTCGCTTCAAACCCAATCACGTTATCCTTTTAACTAGCTTGAGGATTACATTACTGGCCCCCAGGATGAACAGGATACAGTCCTAAAGACGAATGGCAAGATTCAAACAAACAATACAAAATGAATTTAAACTAGAAAATAATTATTAAGAATAGAAAATCACCGAATATACAAACTGTAGCCTTGAAACTATAAAAAGTGGTGAAGGGAAATTTTTGAATAAATCGATATGACTGATGCTTCGAAATAAATTAACATCAATTTCATTGATTTTATTATGACGGCTTCTTAATGAGAATTACCGTTTACTGATTCAGAAGTAAGTGATACATATTTACAAATCTCTGCTGTAGAATTAGAATCTGAATGCTTTCATTTAATTTAAATATTCTGTTAATGGTAACTTATTAAAACTACGCTTTTAATTTCATTTAATGTTATTTGCATGTATCTTCCCATTGTTATTTGGGATTGTAATTGACCAGTCTCTTATTAGTATATGTGCATCCTGTGCCAATTGTCTTGATATTAACTTAATTCACAAACATGATAAGCAAAGTTAAATGGTGATTAGCAGTGGAATCTAGGATGTGCGTTTTGTACTATTTAAGACTCGTCAATCAATCAATCGACTACAGTGTAAAGTCGTGCATGGAGGACAGTTGACAGATGCATTCCAAGTAAGAAACGGAGTCAGAAAATTCCGCCTACTCTCTCCCTTCCTCTTCTTCTTCTTTCTTCTGCTGGTCGACTGTATTATGAAGATCTCCACATCTGAGAGGAAACATGGAATACAATGGACAGCTCGGAATAAATCAGAAAATTTGGACTCTTCCACGTACCTGGACAGCATGATTGGTGAATAAGGAGGATCGGACGCGGACGTAATGGCGAGGACTGTGAAAGCAATGGCCATATTTCTACAATTGATGAGCATATTAAACTCAGAACAACTGTCTACCAACCAATATCAAAGTCAGAATCTTCAGTATGAACATCAAGACAGTTCTACTGTATGGAGCTGAAATGTGGAGAACCACCACAATCATCATCAAGAAGGTTGAAGTATTTATAAATAGTTGTCTACGCAAGGTACTCAACAACCGTTGACCGGATGTCATCAGCAACAGCTTTCTGTGGGAGAGAACAAACCAGCTTCCAGCTGAAGAGAAAATTAGGAAAAGATGATAGAAATAGATGGGACATACATTACGCAAAACACCAACCTATATCACGAGTCAAGCCCTAACTTGGAATCCTGATGGGAAGCGGAAAAGTGGAAGACCAAAGAACACATTACGTCAGAAAATAGAATCAGATATGAAAAGGATGAATTAAAAAATGGAATGGATTGCCTACGATAGAGATTAGATGGAGATTACTGGTGAGCGGTCAATGCTCATTCACGAGGAGTAACAAGCGTAAGTAAATAATTAGAACTCATCAGCATCCCAGAGTTGACGTTCACTTCAAAATGAAATATATTTTATATCGTCCATCTGAAAAAGTAACTTATTATTGCGTAATCATCTATCTTTTCAACAAACAATTAAAATTATTTATTGGACTTTGAAACTATTCTAATTTATTTGATACCATAAACGATTATAATTAGAATCATGAATGAATGAATACAAATGAATAAATATATTATCATTCTATTAATTACAAGTAATTTTCTATTTTATTAATATAATTGGATTCTATTAGGTTTAATCCATACAACAATAAATGGTATTCAGGTAAATAATTTTAATTCATTAATTCTTCTATATAATAGTTAATAAATAAACAATATAGAATAGAAACTATACAAAATATATCAAATACAGATTATACATTAATACACCTTCGAAATAATCAATCTACAATAAAATGTTCCTTTTGTAAAATGATAGTTAATGCAATTAGAAAAATGATGACAAAACTTTCAACATTTCAAATGATTCATCTAATTATTCATGAAATGTGCTCTGTAGTTGAAGATCATACAGTAGAGGTAAGATTTAATAAATATTTTGTTTTGTCATATCACTTAATATCATTTAAATTTTGTGGTTTGATTGAAGCTAGATATTAAAACTGTTGAATGCTGATTTCAGTAGTCTTTAGATTAGGCGTTTACGCGCAAAACCGAAAGTCCTAGGTTCAAATCTCGCGTGGAGGAATCTTGGATGTGCACTGTGAAAGAGTCTCATACTAGGACGATACGGCCGTCGAACGCTTCCAGGTTTTCCACGGTGGTCTAGCTTCAATCATTTCATGATTTCAACGATCGTATTATATTAATTTACTAAAATTTTGAATTAACTCGTCTGTCAGTATATACTTATATACACATCACAAAATAATGATCATGACTACTATTTATTATGTCATCGTGTTTAATAACAAAAATGCCATTGACCGCGAAAGTTCTACAAATATTGCGGTGTGCGCCACTTATGTTGACATAAGTAGTATATGATGTTAGTAGTAAACAGAAGGTCTGGCAGCAGAGAGACAAGAGGATCGAACAGTAAAGAATGAAGACAGGATGCAATTCGTATGAAAATGCCAGAACAATGAAGTCTGAGTCATTCTGAGACAATTAGTGGACATTTTGCTAATGAGGCATTTACTTTATGATTGTTAGATTTTATTAACAAGTCCTGTAATTTGTGTTAAATACATTTGATTGTCTCCACCCGTGTTCCGTTCACTACAATATTAGTAAAGAATTGTAGATGTACATCTACTTTATATTAAAATAAAAATACATTTTACAGTAATTTTAGGTTACGAGCAAAAGTAAGTTGAATCCATTTGTAACTTACACTGCCTAAATAGAAGAACTCACAGTAATAATAAATCGTATGAAAACGCTTATACAGTGATTAGATACTGAAATTAATACACTTTGCAGAATATACCATTTGATATAAAAGTCTCAAGAAGTGTATAGTATATTCATTTTGATATTCGAAAATTCATTGCTTGTCGGGTAATTTAAAGATCGTTTAATTAAAGAACAAATCCAGCTCAAAAAGCATTTGATTTTTAATCAGCTGTGTGGTTAGACATACATGATACTTAACAGTATATGGATTGTGGAGATTGTTGAGTTTAGATTGATATAATGAATGGATCAATGTTAGAACACCATTGAAAACGTGGAGGCACTTGACGGCCGTTTCGTCCCAGTATGCGACCTGGTCCTGCTCGAAAACACCCAATCTTTAGACCACTGAACCTGAATCCAACGGTGTAAATATCTAAATTCAAACGCGACCGTCCACCATTATCTTCAGTGAGTAACTGCCTGACATATGGGATTGTGGCTGTTCACTGCTGAGCAGTCTCATACTAGGAAGATATGGCCGTCGACTGCCCTCATGTGTTCAATCGTGATCTAACATTTATTCATTGATAATATCAATATGATGTTTCATTATAATAACAGTTCAATATTTTATTTTCACAAAAGCATAACCATTTTTTTCAAAAAACATTTTATCATGTTACCAGGCACCTTGCAGTTAAATGTTAATGACTCAACTATCATTTTATATCATGCTTGATAGAATGCACACAGTTATTTTAACTACCAACTAATAATCTGACGTTTATTTAGATCTAGTATCATAAATGTTTACTATTTTTTATTAATTATTAAGCACTGAAATGTTAAAATGGCATGACTAATGTGTTTTGGACATTTCTATGAACCAAACGTTGAAGAAATTAATAAAGTATTTGAACGTGAGGATGAATATATTCAAATACAATATTTACCTAACGAGTCAAGTAATTTCACTTGATGCCTGATAAATTCGCTATAGATCTAGGAAATTTAATGTTCAATATCAACAAAGTTTATCGTAAGGCCTAACTAAACTAGTACTCTTCTAGTGGGCTGAACACGAACACTGCATTCAAACACTTGGCAATACAACCGTAAATGATCAACTCCCAGTCTAAAGAAATCATAATAATAGTTAATCTTGATGAAAATCGTTTTTTTAGCGAGTTAGTTTTCTACGGGATGGGGTCGCTAACCCCATGCCCAACCCTCTTCCTTTATCCGGGCTTGAGACCGGCAGTAGCTTCCGGAGGGACTCCAGGCGGAGTTCAAGACAGTTCTACTGTATGGGGCGGAAACCTGGAGAACTACGAAAGCCATCATCTAGTAGATACAGGTGTTTATTAACAGTTGTCTACGCAAAATACTTCGGATCTGTTGGCCGGACACTATTAGCAACAACCAACTGTGGGAAAGAACAAACCAGATCCCAGTGGAGGAAGAAGTCAGAAAAAAGCGCTGGAAGTGGATAGGACACACATTGAGGAAAGCACCCAACTGCGTCACAAGACAAGCCCTCAGTTGAAATCCTCAAGGCCAAAGGAAAAGAGTAAGACCAAAGAACACATTACCCCGGGAAATGGAGATAGACATGAGAAAAATGAACAAGAATTGGATGGAATTAGAAAGGAATGCCCAGAACAGAGTGGGTTGGAGAATGCTGGTCGGCGGCCTATGCTCCATTAGGAGTAACAGGCGTAAGTAAGTAAGTTGGTGAAAATCACTTAATCAACATTTTTCAAAACTACAGTTTCCTTTACTGCCTACTTTTATTCTTCATTACATGTAAATTAGATGTAATCTTCTGGTTCATTCTAATCATTCAAATGATTTCAAAAGCTTCATTGAAGATCATTCAATTACTGCATTATCTATGAGTAATGTGATTTTTCTGTATAAAACGAGAAACATTTTATTCAATAATCAAAGACTTTCGTTTAATATGATGTAAACTCAGTACATTGAAACTTTCATGGCAACATTTGTTAATGTATATATTTTACACCAAAACAAAAATAAAACATTATCTTTGATTACAATTAATCCTTACATAACAGATCTGTTTGCTTAGAAACACCAACTGTGGCCAGATGAAATAAAATATTCATTTTTAAACTATAAATAGACACTAATATAAAGTTTTTATCATTCTATATGATATTGTTTCATTCATTGTTTTCATTCTTAGTGTTATGATGTGGCTTCACAAATAGTTGATTCTTACGTTATCATATTCAATAGAACTGAAGCATTGGATACTTGTATGGTAGGTATGGTATTTTCTGATGATGATGATGATGATGATGATGATGATGATGATGATGATGATGATGATGATGATGATGATGATGATGATGATGATGATGATGATGATGATGATGATGATGATGATAATGATGATGATTATTGAACAGTTTCAGTTAGTATATACATACAAATTTGATTATTTAATCAATAAAGATAACTGAATAAGATTTTGGATTGAATGTTATTAGCAAATTATAAGGCTACTTATTTAGGAAAGTTGTACACTAGTTGTGCTGTAACAACCTTTCATCATTGAATTTCCTGAAAAATACACAGCGGTAAATCAATACAACAGTTGCTTTATGGAACCGAAATAAGTCAACATTTTAAATAGATTATTATGAGTGAATGAAATAAAAGATATAACACTTAACATTAGGTCAGTAGGTTAAATGTAGAAGCTTCATCAAATCACCATGCATCTATCTTTATCTATCACAAAGGAAACAGTTGTTAATAACCAAAGAAAAACATGTTTTGCTAATAGTAATACATGTATTGACTTAACGTTCGCATTAGTGAACACCAATGAATCTGATAGAATAATAGGACTGTTCGATGAGCACTCAAAACACAATGGTAAAAAAAGAAAGGATCTGAGCTGTAAATCTTTTCAGTGTTGAAGATCTTTTACCTCCATAATAACACACTGTTTTCATCTAATATATGAAAATGACTCGGTAATCACGCATGAAATCGTAAAAGGTTCTTAAAAGTTTTATTCTAATTTCAAACTCAGAGAATGAAACTCTACTAGAGACACTTACTGCTTTAGTGTTAGCAGGGTCTAATGAGTCAAGTTATAGGTTTGTGTTAGGTACTTTCACATATAATTCCCACTATCAGTATTTTCAATACTACTTGTAACACATAACATACTGCTTAACATAACTTAAATGAAGGTCCACGTTATTTGAGTGTTATGTTAAGAAATTCATTTGGATTTGAAATATTTTTCAAAATATACTAAGATAACCTAGAGAACAAGTAAAAATTGGAATCACTAATTAGCCATTTTGCTCTAGTTAGAGATTATTTATGGTGAACACTGATGATACATGTGGAGAAGAACATGTACTATCCAGTCATCTTGACAATTGAGACATTTATCGACTACTGAGTGTCAGACTACTTCGTCGGTGTGCATTTCTAGGCTGTTCCAATCTTGAGAAAAACACTCTGATAGTGTACCTTGGTTTTCAGTTGTTTCGTACCAGGAGCAAGCTTGTGGTGCAAACTAGAGTATACTTACTAAGTTGACATCTCTTAAACGTTACCTAAAATTATACTTTAGTTTTTAGAAAGTGGTATTCACAAAAACAAAACTAAATATTCAATTCGTATTTAACTTTTCATTCGAATATTTTTTTTATTTTCCAGCAAGTCAGTTTCTGTAGCTGATATGCGTGGCGGATGCATTGAGACCGTTTTACATAAATTGAAAACATTTGATTTTATAAAGTCTTTTAAAAAACATTGGTGGATAAATATTTATCACCATATTCAATAAGTGCCTGTTTTCAATTTATTTCTAATGATCATGGAGCGTTTTTTTACATGATTTTTAAACTTCATTTATTATTATTATTACTCACCATCTACTGCGGTGTGTACTACCTACAGATATAAGTAGTATGTATCACTAATCGAAAGTGAAATACCCGGCGGTAGAATGTTAAGATGATCGAAGAGAAGAGAATGAAAACAGAGAGTGATTAGTGTTGGAACAAAGTTCAGTTTGTTCGTTTTATGGTATATATCAAGAACTGATATTAGTCAGTCAACCTATGGAGAGTAGGAACCCTTAAAATTCTCTTTCGTTCTCATCAGTGAACATCCACCATTGATCAAACCCACAAAATTTAGGTCTTGCAGAAAGCGGCTAACCGTTATATCATTGAATCTAGAAATGATGATGTATATGCCAAACGTTGTTTAATTTCTGATATCGTATGATCGCCTTCAGTTGTCTATGGTGAGTTATTGTCTCATGCTAGACATGGTTACCGAAGTCTGTTTGTAATGGAAATTATAAAAGTTTAACCGTTTCCATAATACTCCTTTTACACTTTATCCTGTCATGTTGCCTGAATACTGCTTAGCGTTTACTCTAATGTTGATATTCTTCATGAAATGTAGATTAAGCTTTAATGATTTCGGACCACAGAATCAGTCGTTACTTAATTAGAAAATTTGTCTTATATACTCAGTTAGCATTGTGATAATATAAATAAATAAAATTTTCGAAGAAATCTGTGTTCTATCGTTTATTACAAAAAAGTATTCAGATTCAATAGGCAGGTACTCTGTTAAGTTTATGGAAATTACAATGAAAGCTAACAGAAGCTGATCATTTACCTAATTAACATTCAAATTTTTAATCATTCAATCATTACTACTAAAATGTTATAAAGTAAGACATTGTTACATTTGCATTTTAACTATAGTGCACTGGAAGATTGGTCTATCCTGTCATAATTTTGAATATCACGATAAAGAGGACCGATAATGTATGGAGTAAATTACTGAAAATAATATAAAAAAGCAAAAATCAATGGTAATATTTCTAAATAATTAATTAGAAGGGAAGAGATACCCTAAATAAGGAAGTATTTAATAGATTTGCCTAAAACTAGGAAAAGTTATAATTAATGTATGTTATGTAAAGTATCTATACCAAGAACTAAGCCCTTCGCTAAATAACCTGAGATAGATGTTAGAAAACTCATAGAATGTGCCTAAACTTTCACCAACCAATATCGTTTTTATTCTAACCTACTGCACTATTCAGTGAAACTATATAGCCGTCCGACATAGATGAATATGTATGATGTCATTACCGTCAAATTTAGTTCGCACTTTCACATATCAAATAATCAAGTTTTCCTAGTCTCTCTAGCTACAACTAAGTGTTATCTAGTATTTACACCATAAAAACAATTTTCCAAAGATAATTATGTCCAGTAATATGGAATCCAAGGTATATAATAGTAATATTTACTATGATGCATCTGATTTACCATTCAGTGTACGAAGTCATGAGCTTGTTTGGTAATTTATCTCTCGTGGAACATTTTTAAATTAGATGGTTCATTTATCCATTCGTTTATGCTCGTATGGAGAAAACATATGTGGGATTACTGAAGAGCAATAATTGTTTAGCTACAAATAAGTGAGTTTCAGTTTTGAGCAAACTGGAATAATACATTTAAACCATTTAAATGAAATTATGTACAGCTAGTGGACTGCTCCATGTATAAATCCTTCATCTTTAAATATTTGTGGAATCACCCACTGAACACCAGTTTACTTGTAGGCTTTGAGTTACTTGAAGCCGGACATCGACGTGCTTGTTTACAAATGTCCATTACATCGAAGACACATATATAAACAAATAGTTTTCTCTCATTAGCTTCTCATAAGTTTTATGGTCACACCTTTAATTAAACGTTTTAAAGTGATAGTGAAGATTAAATCTATGTTTGACTGGTCTGTTGTTAATTTCATATGTAGTCTTTCAAAAGCTCGCACCTAAATAATGTGTTAGTTAATAATCACTAGACTATTCCATCGTTTAGTGTCAACTAATGTTTCCCTTTTTGTTAATTTTCTCATTAGGCACTGGGTTTAGAAGCGTAACATTGTTAAGAAGTCTAAACAGTTCACTCAGTTAGTCTAACACAGCTTTCCTCTGTAAAAGAATTAAGTTTGCTCATGCTGTTAATCTTATCCAGTGAGTGTATCAATCAGCATTTACATAAACAGTATTACTTCGCATCAATTTCCCTTTTCGGAATTGAAGCTTAACCCTGTATGTGTACTGGTTATACCATGAAAAAGGGATTTTAAAATTTAAGCAATGCAGATGTAGAAACAGTGTTGTTGTCAACTGTTCATACCAGATTTAGCAAAGAACAAAATGATGCTAAGTGTGTGACTTTTCTAGAGGTTTTCCCGTCACGTACATAAAAGAATTTAAAGACGTATTCATTGCAAACTAGAAAGCTTGGAACATGTGGCTGCCAGTTTACTTCATATTGGACTAAAATTATTTGTTTTTAGCATCAATATTCACATAAGCTAGGATAAACCTATTAAAGGAGGACTGATAACATGTAATTTACAATTATGGTTTGATGTCTAAGTAACTTACAATCAGGAGCTTACTTACTTACTTACTGTTGGGATATTCAGAAAAATATCCCAAAAATTATTCTGTTAAGCCTAATGCTACCCTTGGACATGAAATGGTATCATCTTATTGGTCAATATTTATTTAACGTGTCATTTTCCTGCTGGCCATCATTGTACAATGTTATTTTATATTTTATGGTACGTTGTGGTCTGCTTGACTGGTATATAAACAAAGTGTGTTTGAAATATAATGATTCATAACTCAGAGGCTGTGACTTGCGTTCTGGACTCAACTGGCTGGGCTAGACAGGGAAGCGGGGCCAATCAGAACCCTAGGTCGTTCTACTTGTTTGCGCGTCTTTGGTCCGATCAATAATTCGCTGCCCTCTGATCTGCTATTTTCACGTTATAACACTTACTTACGCCTGTTACTCCTCGTGAAGGAGCATAGGCCGCTCACCAGCATTCTCCATCCAACACTGTCCTGAGCAATCCTTTCCATCTCCTTCCAATTCCTATTCATCCTATTCATAACCGCTTCTATTATCCGACATAATGTGTTCTTTGACCTTCCTCTTTTCCGCTTTCCTTCAGGATTCCAAGTTAGGGATTGTCTTGTGATGCAGTTTGATGATTTGCGTAATGTATGTCCTATCCATTTCCATCATCTTTTCCTAATTTCCTCTTCAGCGAGAAGCTGATTTGTTCTCTCCCACAAAAGGCCAATGGATGTTGAGTATCTTGCGAAGACAGCTATTTATAAATACTTGTACCTTCTTGATGGTGTTTGTTGTAGTTCTCCAAGTCTCAGCTCCATACAGTAGAACTGCCTTGACGTTCGTATTGAAGATTCTCACTTTGATATTGGTTGAAAGTTATTTTGAGTTCCATATGTTCTTCAATTGTAGGAATGCGACCCTTGCTTTGCCAATCCTTGCCTTTACGTCTGCATCTGAGCCTCCTTGTTCATCGATGATACTTCCCAGGTATGTGAAGGATTCTATATCTTCCAGAGTTTCGCCATCAAGTGTGATCAGGTTGCTGTTCTCCGCCTTGAATTTGAGGACCTTGGTTTTCCTTTTGTGTATGCTGAGGCCTACTGATGCAGAGACTGTTGCTACACTGGCTGTCTTCATCTGCATCTGTTCGTGTGTACGTGATAGGAGGGCTAGGTCATCTGCGAAGTCCAAATCGTCTAATTGATTCTGAGCTGTCCATTGTATTCCATGTTTTCCTTCAGATGTCGAGGTCTTCATAATCCAGTCGACCACCAGAAGAAAAAGGAAGGGAGTTGGAATGAAACTGTCAGCTGTCCTCCATGCATGACCTTGCACTGTAGTCCGTCGTATGAGTTGTGGACAATGTTGACAATCTTCTCAGGAACTCCGTAGTGTCGAAGAAGTTTCCATAAAGTTCTCCTATCTACACTGTCAAATACCTTTTCATAATCAATGACGTTGATGTACAGTGACGAGTTCCATTCGCTTGATTGTTCAACGATGATCCGTAGTGACACAATTTGGTCTGTGGACGACCGATCCTTACGGAATCCAGCCTGTTGATCCCGAAGTTAGGCGTCTACTGGGTCTCTCATTTGGTTCAGCAACACTCTGTTAAAGACTTTCCCTGGTACTGACAATAGTGTAATACATTTGTAGTTTTCATATCTGCCCAGATCTTCTTTCTTTGGAATCTTGATGAAGTGTCCTTCTTTCCAGTTTATCGGCACTAGTTCCTCTTACTCCTAAATCTTTTTGAATAAAAGGTGAAGCATGTTTGTAGTTACTTCGATGTCTGACTTCAGTGCTTCAGCTGGTATATTGTCTGGTCCTGCTGCTTTCCCGCTCTTGATTTGTCTGATGGCCATTCTAATTTCTTCCGTCGTTGGTGGGCTGACATCTATAGGAAGATCTATGTGTGCTGCTTTGATGTCCGGTGGATTCATTGGAGCCGGCCTATTCAGGAGTTCCTCGAAGTATTCTACCCATCTGTTACGCTGTTGTTGAATTTCGGTGATTGGCTTGCCTTCTTTGTCTTTGACCGGCCTCTCTGGTTTACTGTATTTCCCTGCTAGTTTCTTCGTTGTATCGTGAAGCTGTTTCATATTTCCTTCTCTAGCAGCTTTTTCCTCCGTCGTTGCTAATTCTTCCACGTATTTCTTCTTGTCGGCTCTAATGCTCCTCTTCACTTGTTTGTTTGCTTCTATGTATTCAGCTTGTGCTTGAACTTTCTCTGCTCGTCTTCGGCTGTTGTTAATTGCTGCCTTCTTGTTCTTCATTTCTTTGATCCTGTCCAGTGTTTCTATAGAAATCTATCCCATATGATGATGCTTCTTGAGGCCCAGAACCTCTTGACAAGTTGAAGTTAATGCTTCTTTGATACTTTTCCAGTTGTCCACCATAGTAGTTTCTTCTTTCTTCAGTAGACCCTGTAAGGCTTGGAACCTGTTGTTGAGAACTATCTTGAATTCGTTGATTTTGTTAGTATCGCGAAGAAAGGCTGTATTGAACCTTTGTAGTGCTGTTTGTCCAGTTCTTCTTTAGCTTCAGTTTTAAATTGGCTACAACTAGGTGGTGATCTGAAGCTACGTCAGCACCTCTCCTGGTTCTCACATCTTCCATTGTCCTTCGGAATTTTTTATTGATGCAGATATGATCTATCTGGTTCTCTGTAGTGTGGTCTGGTGAGATCCATGTAGCCTTGTGTATACGCTTGTGTGGAAATATTGTGCCCCCTATAACCAATTTGTTGAATGCACATAGATTTGCAAATCACTCCCCATTTCAGTTTCACTCACCCAGTCCATGTCGTCCCATGATATCTTCATATCTGTTGTTATCTATTCCGACTTTGGTGTTTAGATCTCCCATCAGAATGGTGAATTCCTTTCTTGTACACTTCTCTATGATTGACTGCAGACGCTCGTAGAATTGACGTTTAATGTCGTCGTTGCTATCATTGGTGGGTGCATAACATTGAATAATATTCATTGTGATCCCCTCCTTCTTTTTTTTGAATGATGCTTTGATGATTCTGGATCCGTGAGATTCCCATCCTACAAGTGTATTTCGTGCTACTTTGGACAGCATTAGAGCAACTCCCTGAGTGTGTGGAGCATTTTCCTCTTCGTGACCGAGTATAGCAGCATCTCTCCCGTAGCTAGCCTTTTCTGTCCAGCTTGGGTCCAGTGGGTTTCGCTGATTCCCAGTACTGTCAAGTTGTATCTCCTCATTTCCGTTGCTATTTGGCTGGTCTTCTCGGTCTCCCACATTGTTCGAACGTTCCATGTACCTATAAAAATTGTTGCTCTGGTTATTAGAAGGGGCATCGGCCCCGTGGCTTTCGAGGGAACTCGGTTTTCACCATGAAGCGTCATATTTCTCCTAAATGAAAACCTTCTAACTCCCAGGGCAGAGTTAAAATGGTTTAGATTATTTTTTTCTGGTAAGCCTTTTTTAGCGAGTTAGTTTTCTACGGGATGAAGATGCTAACCCCATGCCCAACCCTCCTTTATCCGGGCTTGTGACCGGTAGTAACTCTAAAACAGCTGCAGGCGGAGTTACAATCAGTAGCACTTCTTATTATTTCTAAAGTAACATTGAAAGGAGACTGGATTAGTGTTCTTGTGAACGAAAGCACAACTGCGGACAATCGAATGTACTTCTTGGTAAAATCTGAGAACCATACATTAAATACTTAATTTGCAAAATGTCAGTCAATTGTCTCAAATTTGATTGTTCCTTCTACTAAATCTCAAACAATCGTCTCAGTCTTCATTGTTCTTTCGTTTCCACATCAATCATTCTTTGTTCTCGTTTTCTTTTCTTTGATCTTCTTAACTTCCTGCCACCAGACATTTTAATTTTGATTGATGATACATACTACTTATATCTGTCAATATCAATACCACACACCACAGTGTTAGTTCCTCTAACGACCAGGAAATGTAATTGCATTCTCAGATACTAAGACATTATTCTAATGGTTAACATAATAAGTACAATCAACTCTTACTGAAGATCTTTGTATATAATAAAGTTAGAAATATGAATTCTCTTGACTTATAATATAAATACTACTCAGCTCTTTATTATTTCCCTTTTTACAATGATCACGATACATATTTTTAACTAAGTAATAGCGGAACTTGATTTATTAATAAGTTTGAGTAAGTTCATCTCTGTTTACGAACAGAAGTTGACATAATCAGATCAATATTTAAAAAAGAATGAACAGATAACGTCATTCATTCGCTTTCAGTTAAATAAAACGAGTTCTATTCTTCTCAGATTTTTTGATAAAACGTAAAACAGTATATTATTATATAAAACATTTCGTCTAAATTTGACTGAATAGTTTTACTGCATTTGGGCTCCGAGTTAATGTGAGACATTAATGAAGAAGAATCTATTTTGCAAAATCTCAGCTTGGACCAGATTGACAGGCGAAAAAATAGGTTTACTTCAAATTCATTCACTGAAATTTTACAAATACATTCTTTCTCTTTGATCTTATCCACTTCCGACTTCTATTAACTTCCTCTTGAGACGGAAGCTGATTTAGTATCTCTCACAGTAGACTGTTGATTATGGTATGTGATCAAACGACATTCAGTATCTTGATTATAAATACTTGTACCTTCTTGATGATTGTTGTGGTAGCTCGCCACATTTCAGCTTCATACAGTAGATTTGTGTTGACATTCGTATTGAAGATTCTCACTTTGATATTGGTTAACAGTTGTTTTGAGCTCCATATGTCTTTCGATTGTAGGAGTTCTGTCCTTGCTTTGGCAATCCTCAGCTGTACGACTGCATCAAACCCTTCTTGTTCATCGATGCTGCCGCTCAGGTACGTGAAAGATTTCACCTCTTCCAGAGTTTCTCCATCAAATGTGATTGTGTTGGTTTTCTACATGTTGTATTTGATGATCTTGATTTTTTCTTTGTGTATGTTGAGGCCTACTGATGTAGAGGCTTCTGCTTCACTAGTTGTCTTCATATGGATTTGTTCGTGTGTATGAGATAGAAAGACCAGGTCATCTGACAAGCCCAATTCTTCTGATTCATTCCGAGCTATCCTTTGTATCCCGTGTTTCCCCTCAGATGTAGTGATCTTTATAATCCAGTCGATCGTCAGAAGAAAGATTAAGATGAAGGTAGAGAGTAGACAGAATTTTCTGACTTCGTTCTTTACTAGGAATAAATCTGTAGGCTAGTCTCTATGCACTACTTTATACTTTAATCCATCGTATAACTCCTCGATGATGTTGACGATCGTTCAAATTATTAGTCTTTTAATATGTTGGCGATCTTTAAACAATTCTCTTTTATCTTTACAATTTAATCGCTAACATATTTCACATTGTTCAATAATACACTCAAAGACATTTTTTCATTATTCAGTAATCTTTTTTTTTTAACAAAAACAAACTCGTTACTAATTACCATCACTTCACATGATGTTTTGTTGTTGTTTTCTTTTTTATCGAATCTGCAATCTCTAAGGTTAGTAACACTTAGAAAAAAAACAACCGTTCATTATCAAACAGTTTTACACTTTGTAAAATGATCATACTCGTTTGATTTAGTATACAATAAACGATTGTTTAGAATCATAGGCCCAATTTAGTATTATTATCATTATATATATATATATATATAAAGTCTATTATTATTGAAGGTAAAGTACCCTTCAAATGACCCTTGTTCCAGTTTATAAATTTAAAATATGATCTAAACTACTTGATCGTTAATAAAATCTAATCAAAAAATAAATAAGAATAATATTTAAAGTGATTCACTTATAATAATCTTACTTTAAATTTATTCGAGATCAAATACAAACAAGAATGTTAAGTTTTTTCATATTAACCTTTTTTACAACAGGTAAACCAAGTATATACTACTTATAATAATAATAATAATCTATTCTAGGTCTAGTTACTTCAATCAAGCAATCTGAGGTAAAGTTATTCAATGTATAAAGTTAAATTTCTGAAACTAATAATGTTGATAATAACTTACATAATCATATCAAAATCAATAATGTTAATGATAGACTTCATTATTATTTTAATCCAATTAATCAACAATACTTAAGCTATTAATAATCAAAAACGATTATTAAACTTTCCTTGTTTTTAAAAGAATGTTTTTGATTACTTTATTTGTTTAACCTCACTGTCAACTTGTCCAACAACAGTTTATTATCAGTATTATAATCATTCTGTTAATTACTTACTTACGCCTGTTACTCCTAATGGAGCATAGGCCGCCGACCAGCATTCTCCAACCCACTCTGTCCTGGGCCGTCTTTTCTAGTTCCATCCACATTCTGTTAATATATATATATATATATATATATATATATATATATTTTGCGATTGTATAGCTTTGAAAATGAATTCACCGAAAAGAGAACTCTTCGCTGAATTAATCTTTTTTAACAACAAAAATCTTAAAACAATGAATTTGTTATACTATTCATTGATTGTAGGTAGGTACAATAAATAATCTTATTAATGCAATGAGTTCATTAAATAAATGATAAAACATTCTTTATATTACAATCTTCTGTAATTGTATTACAAAATAATATAAATTATTAAACCATATAACTTCATTCAACAGAAATTTACCGGGTTCCAGTATTTCAAGACTACTGAATTATATAATCTATATTGTAAACCGAATTTACAATTCTAATGTAATACAATATGCATTATGCTTTTTTGGAAATTACTCAATGATTCTATAAGATTCTTTTCACTAAATAGTTAATTAATATTTTTTTCAATAGTTGAGATCATGAGTCCGTTTAAGTTAGACCACCATGGAAAACCTGGAAGTACTGGACGACCGTTTCGTCCTATTGTGGGACTCCTCAGCAGTGCCCCCACCGATGAGATTCGAACCACAGTGTTTACAGGTTTTCCATGGCGGTCTAGCTTCAATTGACTCATGATTTCAACCATTAAAATTATTAAATATCCACAAAACCCCTTCTGATATTAATGTTTTTTTATATATATATTCAATTTAGTTGAATTTTGGCTATAAAGATGTAGGTAAGTTGGTTAATTAAATGTTGAATTACTATTGTTATCGTCTTTGTTTATACAGAACTTTTTAATTAACTGTAAATTAAATGTAAATTTGTATACCATATTCAAGCATAGTGATTTTCTTCAATAGAAGTGAAGATGTTTTATAAAAATTCTTATATGAACTTATATCACGTAACTAGAAAGCTAGACATAATAATATATTTTGAGAACAGTTTCTAAAATGACGAAGATAGTACATTTCATCACACTATGTGTTATGCTACTAAACGTCTATATTTTCAGGTATAATAGAAAAGTAAATATTAACGAATTACTTACCTACTTACGCCTGTTACTCTCAATGGAGCATAGGCCATTGACCAGCATTCTCCAATCCACTCTATCCTAGGCCTTCCTTTCTATTTCTATCCAATTGTTGTTAATTCTTCTCATGTTTGTCTACATTTCTCGGTTTAATGTGTTCTTTGATCTTTCCCTTCTCCTTTGTCCTTGAATATTCCTTGTGAAGGCTTGCCTTGTGATTTAGTTGGGTGCCTTCCTCAATGTGTATCCTATCCACTTCTAGTGCTTTTTCCTGATTTCTTCGTCCACTGGGATCTGATTTGTTCTCTCCCATAGTATATTGTTGCTGATAGTATCTGGCCAACGAATCCGAAGTATTTTGCATATACATTAACAAGCATACTAACAAACTTTCATAAAATTATTCAAATTTTGATTTAATACACAACGTTTTAATGTTTTTCTATGTGGATAAATGTGCATTACGGAGTTCTATAGGTCATTCAAATTTCATAGTTTATCATCAAAAAAAAACACCTCGATTATTTCATTGTAAACAGTTGTAGTAGAAGTATGGAAATAAATTTGAAGTGAAAATACTAAATAAGAGCACTTACTGTCGTAGATAATATTAAGTTTGATGTTTATCTTTGACAAACTATTCTAATCGAATAGAGTTAAGTAAACTCTTATCATCTGTTAAAAATTTTTTTTCATTTAATGTCTATGCAGCCTAGAAATGTCACTGAAGTTTTTAAGATATTGTAATTAGGGATGTGATATTAAATCCAAGGCAGTGGTTACTTTGTAGGTGGAATATATTTAAATCTGAGTTATTCAAACTGTGGTTCACACTCAGTATATATCATTTTAGTTGGTTTAGTGTACGTGGGTTCTAGGTTATCAAAATCACTGACCTTTTCAACATCAATATAGTTTATCAGTCACCATAATCGCTAACTATAGCATGGTTAATATGGGATTGGAATATTTGTTTTGTTTTTTTTAACCAGAAAGCTGCTCAATTTATTCTTGAACATCAAAGCTGACGAGAAAAAAATTCACTTCAGTTTATAATAAACTAAGAATAAGTAATATTTCAGAATTTGCACATTATCAATGAACTTTTTAAAGGTACTGACAAACTATCATTGATAATATACAATTGTCACTAATAGTAAACATGAAATACTTTATAATGACTGAATCTATGGAAGTCAAATACAAAGCTACATTTTCCATTATTTCAGTTAGAAACATCAAAGTATTTAATCCCTAGTTATATTAGTGAACTGCTTACTTAACTTTTATACAAACAAAAAACTGTTTTATATATATCTACAACTTTATAGCATGCAACCTATTGGAATTGGCACAAGAGAAAAGTTTACAAATTATGAAAGAAGAACAATTCACCAGGACTATCATTGAATATATATTGTCAATAACATGTGAAAATATAAATGATATGAATAAAAAACTTCAGGTATGTCAATGATTTGATTTGATTTTTTTCCATTATCGATTGAAGAAACACTGGTATACTTGTAAACAGTTGCTAAAATTAATGAGAACAATAAGGTTTACAGTGTGTATTGCCTCGATATTGCACATATGCTAATAACAGACTGATCAATCTCAGTCTTAAAACTCAATAGAAAGATGCAAGCAAAACAATATCAAGTGATTTTAACTTCACCACATTGTACAAGCAAGTGGTTATCAGGACTCAGTCGCTGAGTGGATAACGCGATGGTGTTTGAAGCGAATGTTCCTGGGTTTGAGTCTCGGAGTGAACATCAACTCTGAGATGCAGGTACATCCAGCTGACGAGTCAAAAATAGGGCGAAACGCACGTCGTGGATTCCACTGCTAGCCACTGTCTACCTTTGTTAAGTAGATATATCTAAATATTTATAAAACATTATAATATACTTATAAAATCGTACACGAACTACAGTCAACATATTAAGTACACTGCTTCGGTGTAGCTGAAAATTGATCAAAAAATTTGTTTATCAACCGACAAACCCCATGTTTGAATGTTATTTCATTTACTTTAGTTTAGTTAACCGAGAACTATCAGTAGATACAACAGAATAGATGTTATCGGTAAAAGGTTGTGAAGAGTATTGGATTTCCTTGAAGTCACGAACTGATCTTGTTATGTCCCGAATATCGCGAAATACGATTGCCAAATTCTGGTACGCTTACTTATAAGAAAAAATTAATGACGCATACACCAGTACCAGCAGCCTGGAATTCTGGTTGATCCTTTTTCCGTCTTAACCTGCCTGTTAAGTTCGGAATGCCGATCTTGATCTCCATGACACGAAGCATATATTTCAGACAAACTAGGTTTATATACATACAAATTAGACCACATCACACCATAAAATAGAAAATAATATTTGGACAAGTTCAAGACAAAAGTGGCTATGATTGTGAGAAACTGTGACTACGGGATTAGGAATAACTTGAGAATAGTAAACCATATAACAGTGACCATTAGATCAAATAAAACCTTATAATGAAATGCGCATGCATATACATATAATATAGTTACTTAATAGTCATACAGTAAGAACATTCGTATAATATTAGTCCATACGTAATTTTTATCACATACTATTCATTTATACCCATCTCGATATAACAGATCTAAGATAAACCACAACCAAAAACCTGGACGTACTAGATGGCCGTTTCGTTCTAGCATGGGTCTACAAAGAAGAGGCCATCCACAACCTCGCATGCAGGAATCGAACACAGAACCTCTGATATTGCGCGCGTACAGTTAGCCTCTAATTTCTAACACAACCTCATACTCAGGAATGGAACCCATCAATACTGATATAATTGGGTGCCAACTCAACGATCTAGAGGTTAAGTGTTCGAGCCTGATATCGAAGGTCCTGGGTTCGACCCCCACACTCGGAGTTGTGGTTGAACTCTTGTGAGGAATCCCCTACTGAGATGAAACGGCTGTGCAGAGCTTCTAAGATTTTGGTTGTGATTTATATTAGATTAGTTCATGAAATAAGTTAAATGTCACTTTGCAAAATGTGTCCAAAAGTTTATGTTTTTAAAACTCTGAGATATTCGTAATCCCATATATACGTCGTATTTACCTCTAGTTTCTTACTTCTTTCTGTCCACTTACTGAAATAAATTCGCTACTATAGTGTCCAAAATATGATACTTTTAGCTTTTACTTTTTCTAATATCGACTATTCAGTACCTACTCTGTTTTACCAAGTAATATATACCAGTTTTAAATTATATATCTAATTTTGCTTGCTCAAACTCGTAGACAAACAAGTAAATTTTGACTTTTAACTTGATACAAGAATAAATTCACTTGGTGTTGTTTTACTTATATCTTCCCATTGTTACACAGGACTGCAATTAATCAGTTTCATGTTGGCATATGTGCATCCTGTGCAGCTTGCATCGATATAGCCTTAAGTCACAAGCTTTCTAAGCAAAGATAGATAATGACTAACAGTGGAAAATACAAGTAAAACAACACCAAGTGAATGTAAACTTCACCCCTTATTTCACAAGCAGGTGGCTATCAGGACACAGTAGCTAAGTGAATAACGCGATGGGGTTTGAAGCCGATGGTACCAGGTTTGAGTTTCAGAGTGAACATCACCTATGGGATGCAAGTACGTCCGGCTGACGAGTCCCGAATGGGAAGAAACGCGCTTCCTGGATTCCACTAATAGCCACTATCCATCTTTGTTTAATACAAGATTGTTTATGATATGAATTACGCTAAATTATTTTCATATTTATTAAAATTCAAGTTATTTGTAAGTGATGTAACTCAATCATAGAATATGTATTCATTAATTCCCAAGAATTTGGATTCATTGTTCCTTAAAATTGGATCCAATTTTAAATATCTGCTTTTTATTTATTAAATCCAGCAGCAGTTATATTAATCTAGATCAAATGAATCAAATAATATTCAAGTTCGTAATTGATTTTATTAAAACTCAAACTATCAATATACGGGTTCTCGAGATTATTAAGTTTTTGATTGAGATCATGAATCGATTGATATTGGACCACCACCAAAAACCTGGAAGCACTGAACGGCTGTTTCGTCCGATTGCGGGACTCCTCAGCATCGTGCAAACCGCTAGCGGGATTCGAACCTACGGCCTTCAGTGTCGCATGTGAACGCTTAACCTACTGGATCACTGGGTCGGCACCCAATGGTGATAATGTCTAACCTCAACCAATCTACGAAACTGAGCGACCATCTTCCGTTGTACTGGTGTAGGTACCTGTCCTCAACCGACACGGATGGGCGCTGCTGAGGAGTCTCGCAATGGGACGAAACGGAAATCCAGTGCTTCCAGGTTTTCAATGGTGGTCTAACATCAATCGATTCATGATCTCAATCAAAAACTCAAACTATTTCGTGAACAAGCAACACAATAGGTAATACTTACTACAACAATATTTACTTTAGTCACTGGTCAAATTTATGTTTCTAATGGATAAATAACTACAAACAGCATTATCAATTAATGATGTACGTACCGTTAATTCGTTTTATGAATTTCACTATAATCAGAACAACAACTGAATTAGAATGATACGATGTGATTTGATTTCATGGTTTCTTCGTTGTTTTTTTCTTACGTACAAATGTGTTTGTATAACATAATATTACATAAGAAAATAATAAAATGACAATGGTTATCAGCATTAAAGGTGTTAAAAAAATACATGAATAAATCACACGTACATACCTACGATTGAAGATGACAACGGATAACATGAATAGTAGTGAAGTAATAATGTCAACTATCTATTATTATACAATACGCTTATAAGCAGCTAAACAGAAATGACAAAATAAAATGAATTCATATTATTGTGCTCTAACAGTTATTCAAACTATTCAAACTGAACAGTTAATTTAGCGTCAATTTTGTTTTCATTTGTATTTAAATAAAGATAAACCTTGTTTGATTCATACATTAAACAATAGGGTTAATAAGTTAACAATCTAATGTTTCATTATGTAATGAATTATTGAATGAAGTTTCTTACAATATCAGTTACATATTTATCTACAGATGTGAAGAAAAACCCGTTGTAGTAAAATTCTCTTTTAAACGTTCATGTTGCGCAGAACGACTGACTACTTAATTATTCCCATTATTCCTTGTGGAGGAGCGAAGATCAATCACCAGCATTCTCCATCTGTCTCTGTCCTGGACAAACGTTTCCAGTTCTTTCCAGTTGTTATACATCATTTTCATGTCTGCTTCCTATTCTAGACGCAGTGTGTACTTTAGCCTTACACTTATCCGTTTCCTTTCAGGATTCCATATTAGCGCTTGCCTGATGATGCCGTTTGATGATTTACGAAATGTATGTCTTATCCACTTTCAATATCTTTTCCTAATTTCCTCTTCGGATAGAAGGTGGTCTATTCTCTCCCACAGTAGGCTGTCGTTCATGGTGTTTGGTCAATAGACAATAAATATCTTTCGTAGATAATTGTTTATAAATACATTTACATTTTTGATGATGATTGTGGTAGATGTCCAATTTTCAACTCCATCCAGTAGAACTGTCTTGACGTCCATATTGAAGATTGTGACTTTGATACTGATTGACAGTTTTGGTCGATAGGCGGAGTTCGAGAATCACTGGTAGTGATAACTAATTTATACATAATATATTATATTAAAAAGCATTTAACAAAATATTGAATATTTTATTTACGTTTTATAATGATGTTTGTTTTTATTCAAGTGCAAACATTCAATGGTTAGTGAAACAAGAACACTCCTAAAAGATTTCATTGAATTCGTCGAATCCAATCGTTTCAAAACAGTAAGTTGTGTAAAATATTTTGAAATTGATTTATTATTTATTAGAACAACTTAATGCTTATTTTGTGTGCTTTAATGAAAAATGTTAATGTAATTATTTTTTACCTTTTTTAGATGGTGAATTGGTGTCAGTCCACATTGGAAACACCTCAACATGGTAATTCCAGCTTTTGTAAGTTGATAGCAATATAACATACTTATCAGTATAGAGGTTGTGGAGATTATTAAGTTTTTAATTGAGATCATGTACCGATTGGTGTTATACGTCACCAGTGGAGCTGATCTTTGTCGGGTAGACACAGATATCTACCTCAGTACAATGGAAGATGGTTGCGCGATTTCGTGGATTGGTTGACATTAATACCGTTGGATGACGGTTTAGTGGTCCAGTAGGTTAAGCGTTCGCACGCGAGACTGAAGGCTATGAGTTTGAATCCCATGAGCGGGATCGTGGATGCACACTGTTGAGGAGTCCCGCAATCGGACGAAACAGCCGTTCAGTGCTTCCAGGTTTTTGGTGGTGGTCCAATATCAATCGATTCATGATCTCAATTAATAACATAATCAGAATGTTTTATTTATCTTCATATTAAATTCATAAAAAATGAATTTCACTAACGTTGTATAACAAGATTAGATAGAAAAACAAAAATATGGATAACTGGTAATCTAATGTTATTTTGAACTTCGTATAAAAACAAAGAGAATCCAGCTAATAAAATTTTTCTCCTTTTCGGCAAAATCACTTTCTTAAGCTGTACATTCGTATTTATTGATATATGGGAAAGATTTGTCTATAGGAGGATTGAAAAGAATGCATCATAAATTGATTCGAAACTCTTATTATCAGATAAGGTTACGTAATGATCAAGGAGTAAGGAAACAATATGAGGATGAAAATAATTTATTGGTGTTAGGTCCCGATAAACATAATGAATGGTAACTTTGGTATCCACTTATGGACCAATACTAAACGTATATTTTTATCGTATAATTGTTAAGTAACTAAGCTATTAATATTCATATTCCTCTTATTATAAACTTTATTTTGACCTATGAACTATTATTATACGATTTACCATTCTTGTATTTTGCCCTGTTTATTAGTCACTGCCTCCCACATTCACAGCCACATGTGGTCAAATTTTGTACAGATGTTATTTTCTATTTCATGGTACAGTGTGGTCGGTTTGATTGGTGTATAAACTCAGTATGTTTGAAATATAAGGACTCATATTGCAGAGGCTGAGATCGCTGTTCTGGACTTAACTGGCTGGGCTAGGTGGAAAGCAGGACCAATCAGGACTCTAGACTGCTCACACGTGTTTTACACGCCCTTGGTCCGATCGATAATTTGCTGCTCCTGATTAGCGGCTTTGGGCTATAACAATGGGTCGGATAAATGTCCAATCGACAGATATGAAGAAAAACAACAAATATAAAATTTATTATAATAAAAACTGAATATCAATCAAGAAGACTTGTTCAAAGGTACTAATAACTTTAATAGCTGAATTCATGAGTCGATTGAAGCTAGTCAACCATGGAAAACCTGGAAGCACTGGACGGCCATTTCGTTCTATCATAGGACTCCTCAGTAGTGTGCTTCAATTGACTTATGAATTCAACTATTAAAATCACTATAATATCCACAAAATTCCCCTCTGATTATAATAATAACTGATTATTGTTTAAAATTACAAAACACTGCTTTAAAAAAACCAGTAGTAGTAATAAAAATAAAAAACGGAAAAATGAAAAAAAATGAAACAAACTACAATAGGGAATTAGGACCAAAGAAGGATGAAAGGTTGAACTTATCGTTTTTGCATGCAAAGTTCGCAAAATTCGTATACATTGATCATTTAACAAGCCCCCTCCAGAAATCGAATTTACAACGATATCTCAATCTAAACTCTGCAATTAGTTCATCAAATAAATTATGATCATGTTTGTAACCCATTATCACAATATATATATATATATATATATATATATATATATATATATATATATATTGATATTTATTTCAGTGTGTTCAACATGTGAAATGGCTGTATCATATTTGAAAACTTTCAGTAAATCTGAAGAAGCAAAATCATTTGTACATCAAGCTCTTGATAAAATTTGTTCACTAACTGGATCTTTTCAAGTTCAGGTGAATTGATTCGCATTTGTTTAATTTCACTCTATGTATATATAATACTTATTATTGACTGTTACATTTATTGCCAGAGATATTTTTACTTACTAACTAACTTACTTACGCCTGTTACTCCTCGTGAAGGAGCATAGGCCGCTCACCAGCATTCTTCATCCAACTTTGTCCTGGGCAATCCTTTCCAGCTCCTTCCAGATATTTTTATACAAAATATATGTTACACTATGATGTAAAATAATTATTAGGTTAATAACAGAATAAATCAAGTACTCACTCGGTTAACTTTGAATACCATGGCTTCGAAATCTATTTCATATATGTGTTACATCTATTTTAAGCAGTTGTGCATGGTTGACTTATTTAGTGTGATTGTAAGGTATACGTGTTGAAAATTCCCGTTGAATCAATTACATGATTTATTTAATTCATTAATATACACCCTCTTATGCTTATTTTGATTCATTTATTGAAATAAAAATTGCTTGATATTTGATTGTTATTTGACGAAACTGCTAACACTCGGATACGATGCAATTTAAGGTTGTCTGTTGTCAGTATGGGGTTGTGTAGGTTATGAGGTTTTTGACTGAGATTGTGAATCGATTGATGTTAGACCACCATGAAAAACCTGGAAGCACTGGACAACCGTTTCATTCTATTATGAGACTCCTCGGCAGTGCGTATCCACGGCCCTGGTCACGTGATTCGAAACTAGGATCTTTGGTCTCACAAATTAACGCTTAACCCCGTGGATTGGTTGAGGTGATAAATGAACACCATTGGATCCTGACTCAGTAATTGTCTTTAATTTTCAAAATATATGCTTATATCTCTCTTGTTATTGTTTGAAATCCCAGCGCGACTTTTTTGAAAAAAAAAGTTAATACTTGCCTTCTTTAATAACGTAAGTTTGATTGCATGAAATAGTTCTAAGAACATTATATACTAAAAAAATGTAAAAAAAACATCCCCACTGTATAATTTTCTAACTTGTAAATGCATAGGAAATATGTTCAAAAGTCTTAAACTATAACCAGTCATCATTCAGATTCATTAACAAATGTTCATGATTTGCTTTATTCTCATGACATCTCTTTTCATTACAGAAAGTATTTGATGTATGAACGAAAAAACATCAATATTTTTTCATGGAAATAATTAGGAAACAGAGTATATCAACCACAGCGGTTGTATTTTAAGAACCACTTAGTGATTTAACTTGCAATAGTTTACAAATATTTACCAAAAATTATAAAGTACACTCAGTTTGAAGATAAAATAAAGTAAAAATCAGAAAAATGTGTTGTGATTCATAATTAGAAGACCATCATTCCAACTGTTTAGTATATCATGAATGGATTAATGTTAGACCATCATTGAAAACCTGGTGGTCTAACATTCATTCATTGATTCATGATATCAACTGAAACTCAACAAACTCCACAACCCTATACTGTTAAATATATCTTTGAATTGTTAGCAGTATAAGAAAAATTCAAAGACAAAGATTGCTTTTACGTAGCCCACATCATAATATCATCTAATATATTCAAATCCCATTAATTGACATTTCTAATTACCCAAAGATGAAACAAGAAAACATTTTAGTTTTTTTGCGTTTTATTAACTGAGAACAAATTTAAATCAAATCTGTAATTCGACTAGTTGATCACTTTACTTATCGTAATTAAGCTGATCATTTTGCTGATTGGCTTTTATGGTCACTTTCATTTAAAGTTTAAATTAGCAGTCATGAAGAGTAAATTGGTTTCAAATATAAAACTTTACCAAATATCAATTTGTTGCTCACTCCAAGATGAAAGAAAACATGAAACCTTGTAAAACAAAAAAAAGTACTTAGTAACAAAAAACATCTCCATAGTTTCAAATATTTCACTGACATTCAATGTATGATTAAGGTGAAGCTGTTTAATATTTTAATACTTCACCATTTTATATTATTTAGGAATAAAAGTATTAAATGAACACAAATATCTAATTGTTTTTCTATTAGTGTAGCTTAGGAAGTTTAGGCTTGTCTATACTTATTTATTGTCTGAAGCAAAAGCTTCATTATTGATTAAATAGCATAATAAAATATTCGCGATCTGTATTTTTTTTTCTTATATTTCAGTGCTCATTTCTAGGAGGAATGTTCATTGACAAATACATTGATACAATCTCTAGCATGGATCCAGATTCGGCTTGTATGGTAATTTATTATTTTTAGAAAAATAATATGAAAACATTGAACACTTTTTTGCTTGAACACAAATCTTAGTAAAGTCATATTTAAAAGGAATGAAAAACTATTTTACACACTTTTACAAGAATTTCAATCACTGTAAGTAGTTAGTGTTTTTTATATCTACAGATGGATAGTTTTTCTGAATGAAATATAACTGACACTGAGGTATCATAAATGATTTTATTGCTGATTGTATATACATATATATAAACATTTAATTATATTCGTACTATTCCGCTTGAATAAGTACCTACTGCCAACATATAAACATGTTATTAGGTCACTAAACCCTGTAGGATTGTGATAATTGCCGCTTATCAACCATAGCACTATCATTACTAGTAGTGAATAGGGTAATATGATATTTTACCATTAAATATTTTTGTTTTATTTAATGAAGGAATGTCAGTAAATATAAATACTGATTGTACTAAATTCTAATATCTATAGATTACATGTTACTATAATAAGAATCACTCTGGTTAGTTTGACACTTTTTATGAACGTATTTTGCGAAGGAACTGTAGGATAAATAGGTATATGTTAAGGAAGAAAGAATGATTTCCAGAAATTCCGATTATTTATTGTCTGATACGATGAAACGATAATTTTAGATCTTCACAATTTAACATATTGAAATGTAACTACAATAGACATTTATTACTCATAAGCGATAACCGAACCAAGTAATCTATTCAGTACAGACAGTGTGTTGTGTGCTACTTATGTCGACAGATATAAGTAGTATTTAACATCAATCGAAAGTGGAATGCCTGACAGTAGAAGGTTGAAAAGATTGAATAGAACAGTACGGAAACAGAGAGTGGTTGGTATGGAAACGAAGGGACAACAAAGTCTAGGACAATTGATGAACATTTTGCAAATGAGTTATTGAACATATAAACAAATAACTCTGTAACTCTTTGTTCAAATACATTTGGTTGTCCCGTTTACGTCCCCGTTCACTACGATAGTTTACTGAAAAAAATTCGTGCAAAACGAAACAAATACTCAGTTGGATGAATAACTTTGGATTTTGCAGACTTTCATTCCTTTACTTCAACGTAGTATTTTTTTTACAAATTTAGAGTATCAAACTGATTACATAACATTTACTGACTTCATTATATATGTCAGTCGATTTGTGATCGTTGACGTCGACGTTAACTAATTGCAATGAATCTCAAATGTATATTTATGCTTTGTTTTTTTAAATTTTCATGTTGTTTTCAGACAATGCACATGTGTTTATGAAAATAAATACGGTCAACTTAAATGTAAGCGATACATTTTTAGTATCGGACATTCTTGTAATATTTCTATGATAAAGGGTAAATTATAGAAAAACAACCAAATTTAAATTTGACGTTTATTGAATACATCAAATATGGAACTTTATGAAGCAAGAATATAAATAATAAGCTTAAATCCTATATTTCGTTTAATTGAGATTTGAATGGTCTCATATAAAATGTTTTATATGAATAGTTGTAAATATGTGAAGTAAACACTACATGAAGTTGGGAACTAAGTTCACAGGAAAGCGATGGCTTGGTAGTTAAGGTGTTTGATTCCCAAGCACTAAATAACAGGTTTGAACCTCTCTTTACTTCTTCAGTTTGGATAATCACTAACCTTCGTGCTTAGAGTGTGGCTAGGAGTCATATAGAATAATCTATGCCTGCTAAATATTTGGGTTGTCATACTATCTTTCATTTAATCTTGATAATTAGATTTTCAGTAATTCCAACTTCTTATTCATAGGTTCAATTTGGTAGAATTAGAATATACTTACAGGGTTTCATCTGTTAGTCTTACATTATATGTGACTGCTTTTAAATTTTGCAAGTAACTATGTGACATAGGATTTTGATTGTTTTATCTCAGTTCATTAAAACTGAAATGATAGTTTCGAATTTCAACAATTCACATAACAATCTCACAATCTTCAAATACTTGTTATTGGATTCCATTTGGCCCAATGATTGCAATGAAGGTTATCATTCTTAAGCTGTTTCTATCTGATCTAAAATAATAAACAAACCCCTTCTCCGTAAACTATTAGGTATTTGAATCTGAATAAAATGCTTATCCTTAATCTAACTAATTTTTGGTCATTTCAATAGAAAACAAAAGCATACAACTTCCTCTCTTATCAATAAATCAATTGAATCCCGCCAGCGAAATCATGGATGCGCACTGCTGAGGAGTCCTACAGTAGGACGAAACGGCCGTCTAGGGCTTCTAGGTTTTCAATGATGGTCTAACATCCATAGGTTCATGATCTCAATCATAAAAAACACTTACTAATTATTTACTCAATAAGTTTTTTTTGCAATTTTTTTTTATTTTCAGATGTAAAAGAAGATTTCGGTTTAATTGAAATCGATTTTATTACTAAAATTAATTACTTTATGTTTGTAAATTTAATACACCATTTAAACAAAGTTTTGAAAAATACTTTTATTATATATATATACATGAAGCATTAAAATAAATCGTAAAAACATTATTGGTTAAATGAACAGTAAGTGAAACATTCTGTCTTCATTACTGTTTTAATATTTGTTCGACACAAACATTTTAATGCAGGACTCGCGTTTCATTCTATTTGCTACTCGTCAGTTGGATTTACCTGTATTTCAGAGTTGATATTCACTCTGAGACTCAAACTCAGTACTGTTCGTTTCAAACGCCATCGCGTTATCCACTTAGCTTGTGAATTAAGTCAATATCGAGGCGAAACGCAGAGTATGCATATATTCCAATAAAAAAATTGATCAATTCCAGTCCTAAACAACAATAGGAAGATTCAAACAATCAGTGCTAAGTGAAATTAAACTTCACCCCATTGTACAAGCAAGTGGCTATCAGGACTCAGTAGTTAAATGGATAAAGAAATAGCGTTTGAAGAGAACGGTAATGGATTCAAGTCCCCGGAGAACATCAACTCTGAAATGAAGTTACATCCAGCTAATAAGTCCCTATATAGGACGAAACGTGGGTCTTGGATTCCACTGCTATCCACTATCCATCTTTGCATCTAATACTTGTGAATTAAGGCTATATCAAGGCAATACGTACAGTATGTACATGTCTCAATAAGAGACTGATTACTTGCAGTCCTGAACATCACTGAGAACATTCAAACAAACATTACCAAGTGAATGAACATTATTGTTTTAACTAAATTCTTATCATGATGACATTTCCAGATACAATGGTAACAATAAAATACATTATATCAATAAACTTAATAAGTAAAAATTTTTGTGATAATAATATTAATAATAAAGCCTTGAATCAGTGTTTCAAATTAGGAAGTAGTTCAAAAAACTAATAATATTCACTATAGATTACTAAAACTACATAATAAGGAGTGTTGAAATTACTAGATAGTGGAGAATATTTTAGAGAAAGGGTGAAGGAAAATAAGCAAACAAAAGACATCCAGAATAATGATGATAATAATAATAAGTAAAATCTTTAGCTAGGCTTTATTTAGAAAAGGAAGAGATAAGAATGCTACGAATTACTTATGGATATAAATGCTTAAGAGTTATTCAATAACTCATTGGCTAAGCTGCCTGGCTGCATATACGATATGGCTTTCTTTATAGGAGTAGCTGAATTCACAGATACACATAGTTGCGGTAAAATCTTGTGATTCAATAATTTAACTATACTCTCTTAATAAATGACCATGGAGATTCTGGAGCTTTTATCTACCATCACATTTTGCACTAACATTTATAAAACTCAAAATCATTCTTCCTAATAATTTAATATCAGCGACGAGAACTTTTGAAAGACAGTATTGATAATTATATAACCGTAATAATCAAACTATGTTTTATAAATTAATTGCAGTCAGAAATGTGAACATTTAAATTATGAATATTCGAATTACAGCAATCGCACACTGTTATTGTAAATTACTGTCAAAGTGATAGCATTATGATTTTAAAGAGTTCCACCATTCTAGAAAGAAACCTTTTTTCTAGTTCTATCTGGTTTATAAATGATGTCAGCTTAAAATGGAAATAATCGCCTAGTTAAGATGAATTTCATTAAAATCTTTGAAACAGATACATTTAAAAGTTATTGTTGATAGTTAGTTAAAACTAAATGTAATTTTCGAAGCTTATCAACCGATGATACTAATGTCTACAATAAATTTAACATCATGAGTTTAGTGCTATTAATCATTAATGCCTGAAAACACTTTACAGATCCATGAAAAATAAAGTGATTTCGTTTTGAACCAAACTTAACTGTTCACATTTATTTCCGTGTTCATGAAAGTGAATAATGTTTTTAACCAGGATATACATGTTAGTCTATCCAGGGGTGATAATATGTCTCTTAATTATTATCAATAAAACCAATTCATGAATTAATGATTATTTGAGCCAATTTTGAAACGTGCTAGATTGAACTAGGTGAACGTTTTTATCTAAAGTTGATTGGTGTAAACACTCGAATCATTTAAGTAAACCATTAGAATCAAATGAGCTTAATTATACTGTTGCACCAACTTGTAGTCGCATGTACACTACTTTGATTTTATGTTTGTTTTTAGACAGTAGTTATACATACAAGATACATGATCTTAAAACTATGTTCATTTTACCTTTAATTAATATTGCTGTTTCTCATCCAGTTCAACTGTGTATATTCTTCATAAGAAACAAAGCGCATACAAATTCATACGACTTAAACGTGTGGCCGCATTACTAGTATTTCGATTATTACTTAAATGACTAGACAACAATTACCAACTAATTGTAAACATCTCAGTCTCAAAGAAGATCAATCATGGCCTGAGTAGCTTAGTGGTGATGTCTGAAACTGTAAAGTTATGTAAAGTAAATTAAAATCTCACAAGATTTATGAATTCCTTCTAGAACATAGATATATTTTGCTAACAAGTATCAATCATCAGGTTTTGCTGTCAACCATGCCCAACCTTTGTTATCTTCAAATTATATATCATGACCACTGAGCTGGCATTCAACGGTATTAATGTATAACTTCAACCAATCCATGATCTTGAGTAGCCATTCTTCCATTGTCTAAGGGAGATAACTATCTCTACTCAACACGGATTTGACTCCGCTGGTCACAGTTTCTCACCAAAACTCCATAAGATCCATCCAGAAGCCAGTCACTAGTGAACGCAGGTGAGGAGTTCCGTACAAGAACAAAACGACCATCTAGTGATTCTAGGTTTTCAAAGATAATCTAGCTTAGATCTGTTCATGAATTCAACTAAAAAACTTACTACAATCTCCACAAACCTCCATTCTATTAATGATTTTATTTCATTGACATTTTTCCTTCAAATCTTCGTAAAATCTATGACTTGTTTTTGACTAGGTAAAAAATATAATAAACCAGCAATAAATGTTTTTTAGATGTTAGATGGTGACTACCAACGAAATGAAGGATGCGTTTCATCCTGCTTGAGATTCATTAACTAGATGAACTGTATCTCAATGTTGATTTTAATTCTGAGACTTAAACCAATGGCCTATCGTTGTCCACTTAACCCCTAGTTCAGAAAGACACCGACTTAATTTTCATTTTTGAATTTTGTAAATCATCAATTAAGCGGATGTCGAGGAATTAATTCATGCAAAATAAAATTTTAAAAAACGCATTTTCAAGATTCAAATTCACGATGTGAAAAAACAACTTTCGTAAACAAATTTTTGACGAATCGATTTTGAAACTCTTCAACACTTCTATGTAAGTGTCTTGTTATCTTATGGTATACTTTAAATATGCATTAGAAAATTCAATGGGTTAATGTTATTAAGAAAATCATTTCACAGTCTCGTAGTTGAATAAGTGAGTAGTATGGTCAATTTTCTTCATGTTAAATTTTGGGCTCTCTAGATCATAAGATAGGAACGCAGATTTGCAAAAACATACTTTGTATAATGTACGTATATCGGATTAAAATCTAATGGAAGCAAGTTATAAGGAGTATTTCTTCTGTCTTTAATATGACTTTTCAGTAATGCATAACCTTTATTTCACTCGACGTTGAAGAAGACTTTCAGTTTTACTGTACTCAACATGATTAAATATTCTAAATCCTATCTGTTCGCAAGATATAATGACGATTATTTAATAAGTGACAAGTTACAGCTTCCTGATCAAACATATTTATAACGATCTGGTTACTATTTGATAGAAAACTATATATTTTTTAATTGTTCTTTGGCTGATATCAAACTTTAACTCATCAGAGCTCCTGACAACTAGAATCAACTTGTAGAAGTTATAAAAAAATTCCAAAATACATATAAATACATTACTGTAAAACTAATCAATCTCTTGAAATCAACAATGTAGTCCTATAAACTACCATGAAGTTAATGCGTAATGTTATGCTCACACTAACTGATATCACAATAATATTAACTCAATTTACTGAAACTTTATATAACATTGACAAAAAATATTTAAAATGATTGCCATTATTTATTCATCTCTATATATAGTCACAAACATTCACAAAATATGATTCTATTCTATCACAGTAACTGATGTTATCCTTAGGTTTCTTAATGTAAATACAAATTATTACTAAGGGTCCTATATTCCCTTTTCTGATTATTATAATAAAAAAAGTGAATGAATGTCAGGTAGTCACTTTGCATGTCATAACTGTAAGGAAAACATCATAATTTACTAATTTACTTCTTGTGTTTATTACATAATCTTTACATAATCTATACAAATATGGCTTAGTTTATTGAAGCCTATAAAAGCGATAAACAATATGCTAAATAATAATAATAATAATAATAATAATAAGATCAAATCAGAAAGTATTTCGTTTGTTCGTCTTTTTATTTAAAAAATACATTTCCACAAAGTAAACTCATTAATTTCTAGTCGGTTTACTAAACATAACAATTTTCAAAGATGAGTTACCTTATAGATTGTTTTTGTTTAACAACAATAAACAGTCCTAATGTGCATATAAAGTTACTTCAGTTTAAATAGACACACACACACACACAACAAACAACTTTGTTAAATTTCAAGAAATCATAACATGGAGTATCTTATAGTTCCTTCTTTTTTTAAAAAAAAACTATTCTCAACCGAAGCCATTTGAGTTCTATTTGAATATAGGTAGAATATTTATGGTAAAAAAACAGTGGAAAATGTCCTTAAAATCAGGTCAAATAAATAATCAGGAAGTAGAAGAAAAAAACACAATGACAACAACAACAAATAAGTTACTAAAAGTTGAATTGTTTTAGTAGTAAACAGACATGAGCACATAAAGTTTCCATCTTAACTGACTTTAACAAAAGAAAAATTCGAATGAAGTCAAATATCACATGATATTGTTTACTTAAATCTTCCCATCGATGTTTAGGACTGCAGTTGATCAGTCTCATATTAGTATATGTGCATCCTGTGAAGATTGTTTTAAGTCACAAGCTTTATAAGCAATGATGGATGGTGGTTAGCAGTGGGATCCGGGACGGGCGTTTTCGTCCTAT